CTTTATTGAGAACTGAGAGACCGGATATAGGGATTGGATCACTTTATTGAGAACTGAGAGACCGGGTATAGGGATTGGACACTTCATTGATATTCGAATCCTCTTGACCGTCTTTTGTTTTTTATTGGGAACCGAGAGACCGGTATACTAATAATTGAGTCTTAGTACATGATTTCTATGCTATTTTGGATGTTGTGTTGCCTCGTATTACCAGTTTGGGTTTGGTATTTAACGTAGGAATTAACCGTCAAGCCTCCTAAGGAACCAGTTGTGGTAATTCTAGGTCTTTGTGGTCTTTTTTTTCTTTTAGATTTCTAGTTTGCATCTAACACCTGCGTCGGCTACGTCTTTGTCTACGTCAGAGCGTTGGTGATGTGTTTCGTCCGAGTTATTTTGACAATTCAGTGATCATCTCTTTTTATAATAGTATCTCCTCCATTTTAGTCTGATTTTCTGTAAATAATCTAGTTTTCTTTTTTTCGCGCGTTTTATTCTCGCGACCTTCACTAAGTACGAATATCTATAAATAAAGTCAATGTTACGATCTTGTTTTCCCTCAGATCAGTTGGTTGTGTTCAGCTGATGTATGCTAGAGCAAGACACTTAATGTTGGTGCCATAGTGAACACGCCCTCATCCTCCCTCTTTTTTATTCAGGATATTCAAGTACAATTTAGTTAAGCTGATTGTCTTGTGAGGACAGAAAAAGTTGTCGTAGTAATGTATTTATCGTGCCAGACCGTCCCTGGACACTGTTACCAACACCCTGCCTCCCCGCCCTCCTCACACCAACATCTCGATAATGAAACCCACTGACTGCGTCATCATATACACGCGATGTTGTCTTACGTAGGTATTAAAATCAATTATATTAACCACAAATGAAGGTCTGTAGTTGTCAGGTGCTTGAGAAGGTGTTTGTGTGTGCGTGTTTGTGTGTGCGCGCGGTGTCTGGGTGGCGGGATGTGGAGGCATTGGCGCCACCTGTGGGATTACCCCTGACCACCTGTGACGTCAGGAGCCAGCTGGTGGACAGTAGAGGGCCACGCCTCCCCAAGTATCCATCTTGGCACTCGGGGGTTTAATAATACCCCGTGTTGACGAAGCGATGGTTGTGGTGGAGGCTGGAGAGAGGCGCCCCTCCTGCTCAGGTATGCTCGACATGCGCCCCTCACTCACTCAGGTATTCTCGGAATCTGACCCGTAGAAAGGGGGGGTCTTAGCCCTCTTAAGCGTTTGTGTCCTCACCCGTGTAGCTTCCACTTAATATATTAAAGAATTCGTGTTATCTCGCACGACTTTTATCGTGTTTCGTCACTGTGAACGGCTGGTATGTGGGACTCGGCTGGAATTCTGAGTTGGTCATATTGTGGACACTCCCGCCAGGTTATACCGGGGTACAGTCTCGTGCCTCACACCTAAGGCGATTGCCGCCGTTCTTCGTCTTCATCGTGCGGCCGCCGTTTATCGCACGTAAGGCGATTGCCGCCGTTCAGTGACTTCGTCCTTATGAGTCCTTATGAGTTCTTGTCAGTCCTTAAGAGTCATTGTGAGTCTTTGTGAGTCCTTGTGAATCCTTTTGAGACCTTGTGAATCCTTTTGAGTCCTTGTGAGACGTTATGGGTCTTTATGAGTCCTTTTGAGATCTTATGAATCCATATGAGTCCTTATGAGTCCTTGTGAGACCTTATTAGTCCTTATAAGTCTCTGTGAGACCTTCGGAGATTTTTTTAGTCCTTGTGAGTCCTTGTGAGACGGCTTCGCTATACGGCCGCCGTTAAGCCCGCATAAGTCGATTGCCTTATGTATGATTAACGGCGGCAGTATGACGGAAACGATTAACAAAGTAACAAAGAAGGAACACAAACACACACACACACACACACACACACACACACACACACACACACACTAAAGTGATGACCGCAGGGGTGTAAAGTTTACCATAACTGGTATAAGACCTGACAATAGCCAAGTAAAGTATGAAGTGCTTTGTCAGAGAACACTAATACACTAACACCTTCTACTACAGGAGACGCGTGAGGCTGAGTACCCCACACCTCCCTCCTCCCCCCTCACCAATATAGCCACAACTTAAAGAGAAGAGCGTTGCCCAAAAAACATTTGATTGAGGTTGTTGAACGGTACACAATTAGTCTTGTGGCGGAGATTATGGTAGTCGTGTCTCAACTAGGAAGCCTCGGTAAATAAACTAATGATAAATCCACACATGTTCCATATTCATCAATAATTACAACGCCATATTTAGGATTGACAAAAAGGCCAAAAGGTGGTGTTGGAAGCAGCGGGGCGACAAGAAGGCGCCACGCACGGTTTACGACGCGTGTTCGTGTGAGCCGCCCACTAAAAGTCTATAATCTTTATGAGTAAGTTTGCACCTAAGTAAGTGTCGAGGATTATGATAATACTTCCTGAGTTATTGTTGTGAGGAGGGCAACAAACACCCCGTGTAAGTATAATGACGACTACTGCCTGGGGGGGCCACTGGGGGACAGGAACCATGAGACACAGGTCACTTACCCTATGTGTGGCCCCTCCTGCGTCCTCTAGTACCACCACAGCTCACCACCACCACGCACCCCCTACCATCCCCCCCTCCCCCACACACTCCTGTACTCTGGTAGGAGCATCAGGGTCTTGGTTCTCACTATACTTCCTGGGAGACCTACATCTTGCTCATAATTATCCGAACTATAATTTATATGTCTATTTAACCTACCTAATCAATCTAATCAATCAATCAATCTAATCAATCTAATCAATCAATCAATCAATTAACAAGTATCAATGACGATTTTACTCTATAAATATCCATCTAACTATCTATCTTAATTTTGTTATTTACTCGATGGATGCCAACCAACAACAACAACACACATGGATGATTGAAGGAGTTGAGCATCATCCGGTCAATCATCCTCTTCTTCACCCGCGCCATTATTATCCTCTCGAGTTGCCTATTCATGACGTACTGAATTTGGGCTAATGTGACCACGTCCTTGGCTGAAGCTCTCCATCCTATACCATCGACGACCCAGGTAGGATGAGTCTAGGGTAGGTCCTTCACCTCGGCGTCGGGGTGGTAGGTGTCTTTGGGATGGTGGTGGTGTGTTGTCGGTACCAGGGATGAGTGAATTAATTCTTCTTTACTTAATCTTCTTCCTTATTCCTCTTTACCTTTCTTCTTTTACTTTATTGTTCTTCACCCTTCTTCTCCCCTACTTTTCTTCATTTATTACTCTTTGGTAAGTCCTCACAGCCTTTGGATTATTGGAGTGTGTCTTCTGTCTTAAGTCTAATATTAAATAGGTAACCAAGAAGTCACTAAACCATCCTTTCAGTCCCTTCACCTTTCAATAGTTTCTTCCGTTCTGACAGTGGGGAGGTCTAACGGCCCCTTCTCTTGTGTGTTTCAGTTTGATAATACGAATCCTTGGTGAAGTGTCAAAATTGATTCTTCCCTTTCGGCATATGGTAATAATTGACCTGCTAACACCCCCACCCCAACCCACGTTGGTCCTGAGCTCTTGGGTAATGAATGTATGAGGGACGTAAATTTAGAATAGTTTCGTCATATTATATTTTTTTAGAGGGATAGACAATACAGTGATGAGTTGCGTTCATGGTTAGTTAAAAGAAGCACTGGATAGTCTACAAAAAACAGGGATTATTGTAACTCATATTATTACCAATTTTGATACGTTTCCGCTGTAGTGCCATTATTATTAGCCCACAAAAATATCGTAAATGCTACATACACTGGACAGACCAAACACTCGATGCTCGATCTTCGTTGTTATGGAGAAGTACCACATGAACGCCATCAAAGAAAACGGATATTTCGCCTGCGCGGGAAGGGGTTACTCTCCTCGGGTACTAAACTAATTAAACACGTTAATTGAAATTCAGCGATTGTGGATTTATAATTTATTTGTTTAATTCTCATAAAGTTACTCTAGTTTTAAGTCGACCAGAAGGAGATAGAGTAAGAGTAAAGACATTGAACTGGAGGAGCACCTTGAACCATCTCCCTACCTCACTCAACAAGTACAACGAGAGACAGAAAGAGATGAGAGACGAAGATAAATACTGGCAGACTGAGAAGGAAATTACATAAATATTTATTCACTACTTCTACCAGCTTTGAGCAGAGTGTGAAAAAAAACAGTCTTCTCACGTCGAGGTTGAGTCATAAAGTACCGCCAAGGGCAACAAACTTGTACTAATATGGTCAAGCAATCACTGAAGATATAATTAATACACCACCTAGCCTAGTGTTACGCGCCTTGACTCCCTAATAGGACATTATATACCGTACTGGTAAGAGCCAGAGGAGACCACCGAGCTGAGCAGTCTCCCCACCCTCTCGCGTCTGATGTTGGGCAACTCTACTCTAGGTCAGCCTCCAGGTTCCCAGAGGTTCCTTTAGAGGTTAATATTTTGACAAGGCACATAAACAACACACAAAGGCTCCAACAGAAAATAAACATCTGGTATGACCTTGTCGTTTAACCTTGGTCAAATTGCCTTACTGTTTACTATTGTTTATACCTGCACTGTCTAGGTGTACTCCACATACCTTCATTGTTTATACTCATGCAAACTAATATGCCTGAATAGTCTATTATGCACTACAGTACAGTACAATACAATCCAAACAATTGCAAACTTGTATGATGATTTTACTAAATTATTATTATTATTATTTTTATTAAACTAATAAACTATTATTTGTGGTAGAGGTTTTATGGAGGTGAAAATACGTACTTCTGCTTTTGGAAACGCATTTTAACATTTTAATCTAATTTAGTAACTCCATAATAACCAAAAAACACTAACATAAGCAACCAAAACTTACAGAAAGCAAGTAATTAATGATGGAAAATATGTGACATCTTTTTCAATTGTCATTAACGCAATTAATAAGATTACATTTAACCCTAAAATTCTTTAAGCTCGTTGTGATCTTTGAAGTAACTTTAGGCCAGTATCCTCCTGGTAAACAAGCGGTGTAGGTGTGGGAGTGACCTTGGAGGGGGGTAGGCAGACACACACTAGGCATGGCTCTCCGGTGTGCTGCTGAGTTGAGGAATATACTGTGTAATCGAGTCTCTACAAAGATCATCTCTGGGCCTCAGGTGAGCAGAGTGACGGCACCTGGGAGGAATCTCATCATGCGACCTATTACAACGTCTTCTGTGAACTTCTTGAAGGAAAGTAAGTAATTTATATCTATTTTGTAAGTGTCTAGGGTAATTCGAGGTAAAAATTCAGGTACAAGTTGTAGATGTCAATCAAAAGGTAGAAATGTGTTTGCCAAAAGTTAGTGTCTCAGCCACGACAATAAATGACACTTAGGGTCACTCAATCCACCAAAAGGTAATAGTGAATGAGAGTATTGTATGTTAACTGACTTAACTAAGACTAGGTAGAGTAGGTTATATTAAGTAGGTTAAGTTTGTTCATACTATCCAATAAATCATAAATGGTAGCAGTAGTTGGGAAGTTGTTTTTGTGGATGAAACACTGGAGCTTTAGCATCATAGTGAGTGGCCATAGACTATATACAGGTATATAAAAACTAGAAGAATTAAATGCCAGAGTCATGATCACATATTCTATCTCAAGTTGTTCGCCAGTAATGAACGACTAACCGATCAGAGCAGAGCGCACTCACAGTAAAATAGTCTCAGTAGGAACTTTGCCTGTCACGGCAAAATATACACTGCCATTTTAAAAACGGTACATGTATTACGAAAATTGTGCCTCCAAACTTTTTTGCTTTTCATGAGAGAAGAAAACATTTATATTCCATAGAAAATTTTCCTAAAGTTCCTGGTTAACATGTGATACTCATTCATTATTACCAAATGCCTAACTGCTGCAGTAGATTATGAAAAACATTTATATTTCAATTTGTCACTTATTTTTTCTATTTTTCCAGTTCTCATTCAAGACGAGGGCAATAAGGTGATAGTAGAAGGAGTTTACAGGGAGTCTCCGCGTACTCCCCTAGTGATCAAGACGGGGGAGGACTGCCAGGCGTGTTCACTCTGTGCTCTCAACCTTAACTTGAAACATACTGTAAGAGAAGTGTATTATTATTATTACAGTAGTGGTATTTTTACTTATTTATTTATTTTTTAACTTTAACCTTAAATGAAACTACTGTACTGGACAAAATAAGGAGGATTTTACTGTACTGTACATAATCACTTTATTCTTTACTGTGTCCTTAAATAGGCTTTTCACTGTAGATTGATTACCTTGGCCATAAAAAGAGATTTTGTACTTCAATCCTCCCGTTATTAACTTGGTTATAATTTTTCTGTCATTTTGGGGGATTAAACTTTTTATTTTTTTTTGCCTCATATGTACATTTCATCAAAGTAATTTCTGTATTCCAGGACGTGCTGATTCTCTCCCAGTTTATGCGAGATGACGGCTGCATGTTGCCTCGTCGTGTTACAGGACTGTGTGGGCCGCAGCAACGAAGGGTCACTCTTCTGGTGGCGATGTCACAGAAAGCTGGTGAGGACTCGGAAATTACACTTTAGTATATGAAGCCTCATGCCCAGTGTAGAGGGTGGAAAACCTTGGTACAGTGACTGTAAGACTAACACGAATACAGGTTTACTTCCACAAAAACTTAATAGACTGTACTTTTTCCAGTTTTCTCGTTTTAATTAGGTTACTCGTGGGAGATATTTTAACCCCTTCGCTGTGGGAGAAGTTACTATAAAGATGTAAAAAGAATTGTAGACACCAGGTTGCATTCAGATGTGTAATAGTTTTTAGACAATTGGGAATATTTTGAGTATTACTGGATATTAAGACTGTGAAGATCATCACTAATAAGTATGGTTGGATAACAAAGAGTCTTATAGTGCAGAAACAGGTGATAGGGAAGGTAATTTAGAGCGAGGAAAGACTGTGGGTAAAATGTTAGTACTGTAGTGTACCTGTATCACTGTAGGGTTTGCTTGGACTGTTTCTCTAAGGTGGAAGAAAGTTTGTATTGTACTTTGTAATACCTTTTAACAAACTATGATCATAATAAATTCTAATTATGTATTCTATTTGTTTAATTTTGATACTTTTATTCGTCACAGGTTTGATGCCTAATTTAAATCCATCGTACAGCAACAAGGATCCAAAGAAGCGACACAACTCAAAGAAATACAACAGATACTTTGATGAATCAACACTCGATAAGAAACGCCGGCGTAAAGCAACTTAATGTGTTTCCACTGCATGTATTTTCTTTGTAGCTATTTCATTGTTAAAGATGTATATTGTAAATCAGATTTTTAATGAAAGGGGAAGTTATGAATAAATCCTTCTTCAGTATTTAGATTTTTATTTTGAACCCATTTTACACTACAGTATTCCCTATTAAAGAACACAGGCAGTCCCTGACTTACGACGGGGTTAGGGACCCAAATCTAGGTCGTAAGTCGAAAATGCGAAAATAATACATAGAAAATCTAAAATGGTTGTCTCTTTTTCTTCTCAGCACCACAAAACTCTCACTTTTAAGCTTGCCAGCCATTTTAAAGGGAATTACAAACGAAAATTTTGTCAGTACACAGCGCAATCACTAACGTCGGGACTCGAAAATACGTAATTTTAAAAAATTTTGGTACGACTGGGGCGGTCATATGTCCGGGTGGTCGTAAGTCGAGGAGTACCTTACTGTAATAATGTACTCCTTGGCCAATATGAAAATATGTCTGGATTCTTCTGTATGTTGACGTGAATTTTATAAGCATAATGTTCCCTCTGTTTTTAGTTGAAAGTTAGTGTGAATGTTAAAAATAAAGATCGCAGGTTGGAATGCAGTTCAGAAGTTTGTGATCTTTTATGACCCTTCCAGAGTGACTAGAAGTTTGAGAGTGTTGTGGTCATATTGAAACATGATAATTTACTCTCTTTTTTTCTAAATGATGCACAGGTAACCTTGTACTGTACTGTACCATCTATCCGATTTATATTAGGATTGACTGGTTGACAGGAGATACAGTATACAGGGTGGGTCAGAAATACCCAACACATTGCTATTTATACATGAATTATATGTGTCAAGCTATTTTTCACCCATCCTGTATAAGTCCCAGCTTCAAGAGACAGAACTTTGGTGTAATTGGTTACCCATTACATCCTCTGTGCTGTTGTGCACAATGAAAGGGTAAAATTCATACAATAAATATTAAAAAATACCTCAAATCAAATTACTTTCTTTTAACCCTTTGTGTATGGGGTTACCTTAGCTGAATTAAATCATTGGCATTTTGATAAAAACAAAATACACAATGATATGTATACGGTAAGTGGTTTGAAGTTATTTTGTCTGTGACGGTCTTTTAATTTCTTTGTTTTCGTGGCACATGTTGTATTAAACTTAATGTATTAGTACTTAAGGCAGAACCAGGAATTCAGTTTGATAAAGAGAGATATAGTTCCATAAAGTGCTGAAGCGTTGATGGGTTATTGCAATTACTATTCTTGTTAGTCACTTCATGATATTAATAGTTTAAGTGCAGTAATAAGCTAATAACATTCTAGGCCAAGGACTGGGGACTGTAAGAACCCATTAAATAAGAGGATATGATGAAATACAGTGGTGTAAACTGAGCCAGTATCATGGCACTTCAATCACTAGTGTTTAAACTGGTAAGAAATTGAAGTTGATCCTGTGCTTTCCTCTCCTTACGTTAAATCTACCATGCACTCAAAGACCAAAATAGATCAATATATTGGTTTATTCAGTCAAGTCTTCCCAAACGTTCTCATCAATTCAACAAGTATAATTCATAATAGTGCAGGTAAGTAAAGTAATACAGGTAAAAAAACATTATCAAGAGGAGCTGTAATATCACGTTAAGCATGACACAATGATTTTATAGACGTAATCACTTTATCGCCCATAATATCATACTGTAATTATTTAAAACGTGTGTAACCAATAAATATTTCAGCTAGATGATTCATAGATTATTGATAGTTTACCGTGAGTAAATAACACATACGAGATCTGTAACAAGAACAAAATAAACTAGAGAATGTAGGAGAAATATCACGTTTATATCCTTACATCACATTTAACCCATTCCTGTTTAAACTCTTCACTGTACATCTCCACTTCCCAAACAATTTAACTATTCCCACAATATGTTGTTTATAAATATCTATGGCGATTTAACTGGCTTTTAAACATGGCGCTCGTTAGCCAGCCAATGGACGAGGGGCTGAGTGGTCTCCAATTGGTGTTGTTTGTTGACAGTAATCAGAGGGCCAGTGAGACCAACTCCCCGCTATTAACTGCTGTCAGGACGTGGGATGGACCCCCTGTGAACTAGGAAGATGTTGAAGGGAAGGGGATGGTTTGGTGGAGGGTTATGGAAGAGCAAAAACCCTCACTCGTTAGAACACCTCAGGTAAGGAGCTAATATTGATGTGGTGTGGGACTTAGGGGTCTTTAGCCATAAAACTCCTACTTACTAACATCATATAAACCATAACTTCACTAATAATTATTATATATTTATGAACTTTGTAGATTTATCGAATAAATTCATTGATAGAGGTGTAGTAAGTTGTGTTAAGGCGGTGGTGGATTCTTGGTAGACAATGATAATGATATTTAGTTTCTATTTCAGGAACTTGGGAATTATGCACCTGTTGATGTCATTGAAATTGTTTTATTTATCTTATCACCCGTGAACAATGTACCTGTGTTAATATTATCCAGTCTTAAAGTTCATTATACTTGTAGAGCTAAGGTGCATGTTTCTCCATTCCCTCAAATTCTAAAGTTAAGGAATGTTCACTGGAAGTTCATTGTCTTTTTCTAAACATTTTATTGTTGAGGCTGTATCTAAGAATAGGATTTCTAGGATTTCATTGTTTGGAATTTTTATGTTGAAAGTACATTATACACATATTGTGGTGCTACTATAGTGTGCAGTCGACAGGATATTTAGGAGAGGTTAGGTTAGGTTAGGTTATAGTGGAACCCATATTTTAATACTTTTCTTCTTCTGTAAGATTTAATGGCTATTTTACACAATTTACTCTCATTTTTTTATGTAAAGTAATCAATCATGTAATGTGGTTATTTCCATTAAGGTGTTCAGGGTGTCTAGCAGTTGTGACTCATCCACCTGACTTATTAAGCTGAAGACTAATTTCCTTTACCTGTATCATCTCTGGCTTTAGTTTTTCCTTTCCTAATAAAAGTGGAAAGTTATATGACGAACAGAAGAAAAGGAATGGTTATATAAGACTAGGTAAAAGTTAGATAAGGTTTTATTTCTGTGGAGAGACTGTTGCTCTAATGGTTACATAAAACAACATTCTCAGCTCTGACTAACTCTTATTCCTGTACTTAGTTATATACAAGACAAGATTGGTTTATTATTTAGTGTATTAACATGACCTATATCATATTTTAACCATGACTTATATAATGTGTACTTGTATTATAGCTGCCAAGTTTTATGAAGGTACATTGGTGTTAGAATTATATACTTGATGCTCACTTGTTATCTATCATCTCTTGTTGCCAATTTTGGATAGTTTATTGGGTATTATTTCCCTTTGTCTTGTGCCTGTTAATGATTTGGAATTTTTAAATGAAACTTTCAGGTACCTGTACAATGTGCTCAGTAAAAACCAGGTTGTGCAAGAGAGTAACCGCGGCCTTTTGGTGGAGAACCTCCGCTCCATTGCAGAAATACTCATCTGGGGCGACCAAAATGATTCTTCTGTGTTTGAGTGAGTAAGATCCATTTTATATGTGATGAACAGTACTGTACTCTTTCATATGGTAGTTATTGTGCTCAGACAAATAGGGGACTGATGAAGAGAAATCTGTAAAAGTAAGAGAGTACAGTAATTGGTTGATGGATAATGCTTGCAAATACATATAGAGTACAGGGTATACATAAATTTTAATGATATATCTAGAAATACAGGACAGGAATTAATACATAGATTTGTGTTATGTAATGTATGTATTTATGTATTACTCTTGTAGATTATCCAAGCAGCTGGAGGGTTGTATCTCTTACCTGATGTGGCACAGAGCTAAAAGTGTATACGTACTGTACTTATTGTTATAATTTTATTACAGGGGTATATTAATAACACTTTTGTCCAACAGTTTCTTCCTGGAGAAGAATATGCTTGCATTCTTTCTTCGTATCATGAGACAAAAATGTGGAAGCTACGTGTGTGTACAACTTCTTCAGACTTTGAATATCCTCTTTGAGAACATAAGGAATGAAACTTCACTGTGTAAGTTGTGGTTATTAATGAGTACAGTATTTTGTTTATAATTTATTACAGTAGTACAGTCTATGAAGTTGTTTGTTTATTATCTCAAATGTAGGAGTTTTATTGTTCTGCTTAACTATACTGTACTGGTAACATCGTGTGTTCCCTTTAATATTAAAAAAGTTCAATTTTGTGTTATAGACTAAATATTAAGAGATTTGAACTAATATCATTCAGTTGAACTCTCTTACTAAAAGCCATAAAATTTATTGCATGATGTATTCTTAGAGTAATACATGGTTTACACTCAACAGATTACTTGTTGTCCAATAACCACGTCAACTCCATCATCGTCCACAAGTTTGACTTCAGCGATGAGGAGGTCATGGCCTACTACATATCATTTTTGAAGACTCTGTCACTCAAGCTCAATGTCCATACAATCCATTTCTTCTATAATGAGGTACAGTCACTAGTTTTATTTCACAACACTGTACCTGTATTAGCATCTGACATTATATACTGTAGACATTCAATTATCTGCAGAGGTTGGGAGTAGATCTCTTTTATTGAAATATTGTTGGATAATTAATGCAGTACTGTATGATGGTCAGTTACTAATACCTGTGTAAGAAAACCTAAACACATTGCATAAAATATTAACTAACCACATCCCTATGGGGTTGTTTATGTTGATTTACGACTGTTGTGAAAATGTTGAGTGCATTATAGATCATAGTATCATCTCTGTGGACAGGGCTCTCACAATTAAAGAGTTATAATTCTGCTGTTGCTTCGTGGTGTCAAAATATGTATTACAACTTATACACTGTAACTTCTTGCTGAATATTACTGTCTATTGTCTGTGTGTGTGTATGTATAGTAATATTGTATTTATCCCTTACAGCACACAAATGACTTCCCATTGTACACAGAAGCCATCAAGTTTTTTAACCACCCGGAGAGCATGGTGAGGATAGCTGTCCGGACGCTCACGCTTAACGTCTATCGGGTCAATGATCAGTCGATGCTCCAGTTTATCCGTGACCGGACTGCAGCTCCCTACTTTTCCAACCTTGTTTGGTTTATAGGGAACCACATCCTGGAGCTAGAGAACTGTGTGCGGAGCGATGTTGAGTGAGTGGAGTCTTGTTATCTTTTTAGAATGTGCTGTAGTTTGTATCATAAAGAGAGATTGGTAGGAAAAGAGGCTGGCAGTGTTAATTAAGGGCCCTTCAATGCCACTTGCAAGGATAGAATGATGATAGAAGGAAGGGGAGGGGAGATGTATAGAGAAATTTGAAAGAAAATAAAGTAAGTGATAAAAGAATACATGAGACATAATAAAAGATGGGGAGAGAGAATACAAATAGAAATGTCAGTTAAGAGTTAAAGAGGATACACAGTGCAGATAACAGAGGAAGCAAAGTGAAGCTGGAGGGAGGACTGTGATAAATGTTTAACAGGACAGATTAGGGAGAGGAGGAGGAGGAGGAATAGCTCTTTTATTTACTTCTTAAGATATGAAAAGCATTAAAAAAAAGATTAGGTGTGACAGGCTGTAAGTAAGCTTAAGATTGACACGGCTTTATGAGTGACTGGAATGATAGTAGAAATGACAAGGGTAGGAAGAGTGATAGAATGCATGACAAGAATGTTTATTTATGTACAGTACAGAGAAGAGTACTAGGAGAATGGCAGGAATGGCCAGTGATTCAGAACTTCGTCATTCTTATCTCAAGTAAAGCGGGCAGTAGCGGTGTTTGCATAGATACAATAACAAATGTGGATATCATCGTCGTCATCACTGTCCCTTTGAATGTATTGTACTAGAAATGCTCTTATAGGAAATTCAGTTTTGGTTATATTCTGAGATTTTTATTCTTGTTATATTGAGTGGATAAAATGAGTCGAGAAACTACCCATTTACTCTTGACCGTCATTGCAGCCACAACAGTCGAGGTCGTCTGGCTGACCTGGTAGCAGAACACTTGGACCATCTCCACTATCTCAATGACATCCTCAAGCTGGACATAAAGACCCTGAATGCCGTGTTAGCTGACCACTTGCTCAACCGGTTGCTTGTTCCTCTACTTGTTTATTCCCTCAATCCTCGTCCAGATAAGGTGAGTTGAGGTTCACAGTTCTGCCATAGTGTACAGGTGTTGATAATGTAGGAGTTGTATGAAACACCTTCACTCCGGGGATGCCACGTCTAACATTCTATTTGCCTAATGCCAGATGATTTTATTGAGCTCAGAGGCGACCCCGTACACTAGGGGTTAAAATATAATATCTAGCCAAGTTTTTCTGTTAAAGGAGATTAGAATTGTAAATAAGAGAGGATTATTTATATCAGAGCTTAATTCTTTCTGTCTTTATCTTAATGTTGAATTTAGTTTTCATGTAGATCAGGAACAATTTTAATTGATAAGGAAATGGTACTGTAATATTTATTGTCTCTTCTGAGTCGAGCCTCTTGTGATATAAAAAATGGAAAGTGTTATAATTTTATTCAGTCCTCATCTGTAGCATTATAAGGAAAACATAATGAATTATGGTGCAATATTTATTTAAGACTGATTGTTTTTTTCTCTTTTATTCAGGATGACAGACCAAGAATCAGCAGTGTGGTGTCCCTGTTCCTGTTGTCTCAAGTGTTTCTCATCGTTTCTCATGCCCCACTTGTCAGAGCTCTTGCCAAAATAGTCTTTCATGCTGACAACTCTATATTTTCTGAGGATTCAATGATCTTACAGGTAATATTTTGTCTTTTAAACTCACATCTCCAGTAAGAGTGGTAATTGGTAGATAGCATAAATGAATATGCTTGAAGGCTACTTTAGGGAGAAAAAGAGGCAAATTGGATATAGTAAAGTTATTTATATTTTGTTGAGTTAGAGGGTATTTAACAGAATACTACTACAGTACATAACTTTCTTTTTGCTGCAGTCAGAGAATTGTTAAAGGGGAGGTGAGGTCATCAGAATTTTCTCTCTGGCCCCACTCTAGTCAGTCACACACCCTCTGACACTTTCACACAAGTGTATGCATAGTGTACATATCCTTCCTTTATATTTACAATGCTATTTCCTGCTTAACCAACCATTTAGATTGTTTCATACTTTGAGGATGGCAAAGGGTTGTATGATTACCCAATTATATAATGCTCAATCATCTTCTCTCAAATCCAAGAGTACCACACGGTCCATAGCAGTTCTTTAATAATTTTTTATGTACATGTTTATAGTCACTGAAGATGAACAGATGCTAAGATTGTGATACCTAGTATGTGAAAAGTGAGGATTGACTCTATTAATTTTTGTAGATGTTCCAGGGACAGCGGCTGGTGCGAAGAGGGTTTGTGGCTCCCGAGGAACCTTTAGAAAAGTCGCTGCAAGCAAGAACGTCTAGTGGTTCAGGGAGCAGCTCTTCACAGAGTCCAGGAGGTAGTACGTCAAGAGAGGAAGCCAGCAGCAGTAAACGTGGCTCAGAAGACGACATTAGAGACTCTAGCGGGTTACTCTTGGACCAGGAGGCAGAGGAGGCAGCACTCTGTAGAGGTAAATCAACCAACCTAATATAAGCCAGATATGGCAAACAAACCAATATTTCTCAGATGACTTGTAGTTTAATTGGATGGTGAACAGCTATTGAACATAATTTCCTTACTATAATCACATGTATACAGCTATTTTAAATTTAATGTTGTGCTTCAGAACTGCGGATATCAACTCCTGCTGCGGACATAATGGCAAGCATTGGCATCTCTGACTTAGAAGCTACACATGTCAACATTACTGATGAGGAGAAGGAGCAGCTCAGAGCCTCAGATCATTCTGGGTAATTATATCTTGTTGACTAGTCACCTTAATCCTTCAGTGCAATAATGTCTCACCATTTTTATTCTTATTTGTATTGATAGGTAAGAACTTGAAAGATGAGAAGAAAGACTCATTGAGTTTAAATATATTGTGTGTAACATCTTCACCATCTAACTCTTACTCACTGACACTCATGAATGACTCTTGCCCTAAATGAGAGTTGTTAGTAAACCATCAGAGGAAACTAGTGCATTATTTCTTCAATTTAGTTGTAGGTAATTCAGACATTGAGTGGTGGGTGTTGAGGTGTGCTTGGAAACTGAACCTCCTCCAAAGCCAAAACATTATTTAGTCCTTAGAAAAGTCACTTTTTTTTCTTCTGTAAATCCTTCCCTCTAAGATGTTTTACTTACCACAGAGGCAGTACAATGGATGTCGGGATAACGGAACGCTCACTTGTCTCTCGGCCATTTCTCCAGTCTACTGTTGCCTCGTTGGATTGTTCAGATAACGACTACTCATCTCTGTTTGCCCTGTGCCTCCTGTATGCCCTTGGTCATAATCAAGGTAAGGGTATTCCTTTATGAGCATATGTAAAATGTTTACAGTACTGAAATAATGACCATTCTTAGTAACCTATTAATGCAAGATGTCCATACATAGAAATTAAAAAAGAAAAGAAAAAGAGTTTAAGAGAAATGTGACTGGCTATCATTTCCAACCTCAGGGGAATTTCCATTAATTTTTTAATCATTTAATAAAAGTCAACATTTTTGTTTCTTCTTTTTGTGCTGTAGAATATAGTTATGCCCAATGATTGAGTTGTTACAGTATATTAATTTAATTTTAGTATCTTGGTGATGATCCAGTTTGGTTTTTAGATTGACGCACTATATTTATTTGTGTTATCAGGCCAAACAATCACAGATCATGTACAGTTTTCTTTTGCTTGAAATAGAAATATGGTTTTAAAATTACCTGTTGAGAGATAATGTACTCCTGCCACTGCATCATCTTCACCAGAGAAAATTGGACATATCTCTGTACTGGTGGTAGTTCTCTCAGTATATCATATGTTGCGTTTCAGTGGTTTATTTTGTCAGCTCTCTTATGGTCTTCCTGTAGAGTACATAGTGTGATACCGATTGCTATGCCATTCAGATTGGACTTTTTCCCCCCTTTTTTAGCATTAGTATTTGCATGCATTTGTACCATACTTTACCCATGTGTTGATTAAGTACAGTATAAAAGGTGGTCGTGTATGAATAATATTTACACACAGGACTCTTGACTCATTTGTGTATTCATTTAGCAATGTTAAAGACTCATTATCATTCTGAGTAACTAACTGATGATAAATGAAGAAAAAACATAATTTGCACATGTCATCATATTTCATTTACTAACTGTAGTGCTGATTAGGTGAATTATTTTTGAAGTAATGACAGGTTTTTTTTTTTTTTATATTAGCTTTCATTATCAATAAAACCCTCCATCAGTGTTCAGAAATGATGAGTTACTTTCCATTGCCAGTGTGTTTGTGTTTTAACCTTTATGATAATGCCAGGTTTAAACTAATCCTGGTGTTTCCTCTCATGCAACTGCTTAACCATGTGATCTCCAAAGATGGTAGGGAGTGTGTGTGTGTGTGTGTGTCAGTGTTGCATGGTCATAAAGTCACATATTAATTTATAGCTTCCTACATTTTTTTACATTTCATTGTACACATTGCATATTTAGTTCATTACTGTGTTCTCATTTCATAACTGCATTTATGTTTTAGTATTTTCTGCATTCCCAATCTGGTTTGTTGCTTAATAGTACCTGTATCTGTATCAGCAGGTTGTACTGCTTTCTTTGTGTGATTACTCTGTTGCTATCCCGGAAATCTTACTCGTATTTTTATTGTTTTTGTCATGGTAGATTCTCAATGTCCCTTTTTATCCATAACTACTTAAAGTACTGTATCACCCAAACCAAACTAAGTAGATTTTCACAATATTGGTTATATACTGCTCCCATATTGTTCAGCTTTCTATAATTTTTTTCTGCTGGGATAACTAGATGTTTGTGCAAGTCATGATCTAATAATTTGTTTGATCTGTAAATTTCTTCAAAATTTTTGGGTAGTTCAGATAGGTTACCAACATGTCACTTATATAATTTGCATTGAGTAATTGAATGATGAAGTTTGTGTTCAGGAAATTTAGGTAAGATGAAATATTGATGCTTTGCTGAGTACAGTACGGTGCTGTGTGAAGCTGCTGGACTGTCATTGATGTTGCTTCCTGGCTTAGCTTTACTATATACTTCACTATAGCACTAAAGCATGGGCACATATCAGTTTATTTACACTACCTAACCTAACCTATTCTCACTTAACATAAGCATTTTGTGAAGGACGTTTTTGTACATTTCTGAAGAACATTTTTAAGAATTTTTTTGAAAAGCATTTTTGAAGAAAACCTAATCTAACCTAATCTAGCCTAACCTAACCTAACCTAACTTAATAATGAGCCAGTATTTCTTGCCTTATGGTACAATACAACATACATAACTCATTTAAGAATACCTCTCTCTTAGATCTATAATTATGAATCAAAGAAATAAACAGAATATGTAGTGTAAAAGATAATGAATGTCAGATTGTAACTTAGATTTATATATATATTGTATATATGTATGTATATATATATATATTTTTTCAACATGTTAAATAAATAATATTCATTATCCCTTGATGACCGTTACTTTTTCTTTGTTACTTTGTGTAGGCATCAATCAAGAGCTTCTGGATTTGGTGGTGGTGGGGGGAGAGGCTGCTGACACCAAGTCCCTGTACAACACCCTCCTGGTAGACAAAATGCTGGAAATCATCTCTCTCAGTTGCCAATACAGTAAGTAGGTGATGTGGCTCTGACAAGTGATGATGTACTATTATTTTGTCTTAACATTTCTCAAAGATTTCAATTTGACTTTGGATAAAACTTTTTGTACTCTGTTGGTTAAAATATAAAAGTTTTATTCCATGATTGTATTTATATTATGTAACATTTTCCTCTTCAAATTAACACCATTTGTACATGGAAAATTAACGTAAAACAATTTTTTTATGTCCTTGGCACGATTTGTCTGCCGTGATGTGAGGAAAGGTGCATTAAGAATTCTGACTTTGCTCAGTATTAGATAAAATTTCATACTACAGTAAATAGGAATGACAGCACAGTACAGTATGTCATTTTCTGGTATAGATTTAGTTTGGTGCAGAAGTACAGAATCAAACTAGTGAGTAACAGTGAGTGGAGGATGTTGTTGGTGATAGAAAGGGTGTACTGTAGAGTGTTGCTGAGCTGAGTGTGTACAAGAGAGAGCAGCCTTAAGGAAGACACATCTACACGGCTGTATTAATTTGGGCTGCTATGTGATACCTACAGCTGTACTAATTTGGTCTACGAGTCCAGCCATTCTTCTTCTCTCAGATTGGTCACTGGTTTTAATTTGAAACATCAGTACAAAAAAGAATGTAAGAAGTGAAACTCATATCTGAACAGCCTTTGTTTATGCACAGGTTAGGTTTGGTACAGTGGCTGGTGCATTTTGTTCGATGTGGCAACTCTGTGTTTGTTTACATTGTATTAAAACTCCCAGAATGGCCCTAAGGAACCTCACAATAGTAGTCAGAATAAGGATGCTAGCTCAGCCTTCCACAGAGTTTTGCAACATCTCACAAAACACACCAGGAATTTTTTTTATTTTTTTTAATACAAATTTAATTTTAAAGATTCACGTGTGAGGGTGGCTACCTTGGAGATGGCCATCCTTGTATTAAAGCAGCTGATTGGTGTTGGGTCCAGCAGTCGCAGAAAACATACCAGTTGCCTCCGTGACCATCATTTAGCAACGCTAGAAGGTGCCAGAGAAGAAGCCACTCTTATGCTCAGAAACTTTTATAAGGTGAGAGGGAAAAAAGGGTGGTTGATTTCTACGGGTCATTTGAAGATCCTTAGCTTATTTCACCTGATGATGTCATGCCCTGTCACTAACCTAATCTCACCTAACCTACCTTACCCTAACCTAACCTAATGTAACTCCCCCCCCCCCCAAGGTAGTGTTTGGGTGTCTAATCATCAGGTGAAATAAATTTAGGTGCTATTTTTCATTGCAGTAGCATGGCCTGTACAATATCTCGTCCACACACAGTGCTTCATAAACATGTATGCAGTTCACTCTATTTTCATAATTTTATTCCCCCTATTACTGATATTGCTTACATATTCACCCCATAGTTTAATTCACATTCCAACTATACTCTCCTTTTACACATTGATTTTTCACATTCTTTATACTTTCCTTTAAAGTTACATTCTATCTACCTCTTGTAAATTCTGTGTCAGCATAGAGGAAGCAACTTACCACCTCAACACATTCATCTCCTTGTCTGTATCTCGGTGGATGTTTCTTCCCTTATAATTCTTTCTTTGTAAAGCTGCATCAATCTATCTGCCTTTTCTACACTGGTACTGTATCTCAATTTACATCCCTTCACCTGTTCAAGGAATTATCCCTGAGTGTATATTTCTGTTTTAACCTCTCCATCTTCTGTCCATTCAGCCACATGTATAATAGTAAGCTCTCCTGCTCTAGGCCAACCACTTTGCTTATGCTTGCAGTCATGTCCAGGAAAGTTTGTTAATTCTTTGAGATGCAAGAAGTGTGATCAGCAGTTTGTGCCTCCAGATATATTGTTGGCCAAACCAGGACCAAATTCACAGTATCAGGAGATTATAAAGGCAAAGGTTTTGTATCATTATCTAATTTAATTTTATGACCTATATTTTTATGTGTTGTCATAGGAACTGAGGTGTAGTTTTCCTTCCATATGTTGTAGATAATAAAGCTCTTCAAGTCTGTAAAGTCTTCCTTAATACAGTATATTTATTCCAATAAAGGAAAATAATTTAATCATAATAATATCAGTACAGGTAGTAACATTTGTTCATTGATCTCACAATTTTTTCTTTGCTAAAACCTTAATGTATAATTGTGGTGTAATGCAGATGTTTAGTTTGAAAGTAGATACTTAATATTAAAATAATAATTATAAATAATAAACCACATTAAGTAGAGATATGAATACCAGCACAGTATGTTATTTATTGTAATTTAGTTTAATTCTATCCAAAGAGTGAAGAAATATTCCTGGACATGTTTGAGGACGAGTGGCACGAAATGCATCGAAAACCCCTGAATGTGGAGTACCTACTTCAGGATGCCTCTGTGTTGTTACCACCAGCAGGCACACCACTCACTGGCATAGACTTCAATAAGAGATTACCCTGTGGTGAGGTAGGTCAGAATATTTACCTAAAGAGTAGTACAGTACAGTAGTTAGTATTTATTTACCTTTGGCTGCTCTAACACACACCCACATAAACTAGATATAAAGTGGATTTCAATGAGAGGACAGACTTGATCATTTTGTACGTGTAGAATACCACACCATAAAAACAAATTCATGTTAAAGGTTGAGCGTGCACGACGAGCCATGCGGGTGTTCTTCCTCGTTCGAGAAATCTGCTTGGCTGTTCGTGATGAACCAGATGGCCACTTGCCCCTCACAAACCCTGCAGCCTGTGTCCAAGTAGCAGATGTTCTTGATCTCAGTAAGTTGGATGGCTTGCCATGACAGAACTGTACAGTACTTCTAAACTGGATTCTGTTAAATGATTGAGGAGATTTATATTTTTGGTACATCACAATGCTGTGGTGTACAAGGGTACTTAGGAATATTTGACTGCACCTCCACTATAAACATGCACAGTTAGCTAGACTATCACATCACCAAACTACCTTAACAGTATTTGCAGTCTTACATTACTGTACTATGTTTTGTTTCTTTAATCAAATTTTGCTTTGTGGTTTATTAGTTAACTTGTTTCTTCTTCTTTCTCTTTTTGCTAATAGTCATGTTTGCTTTATGTTTCATTAGATAACAGTGACTTAATAGCCTGTGTGGTGATACCTCGGGATGGACAACGTACCAAACGCTTCTTAGTCATTGATATCATCCAGTTGATCCTTGTAGAGCCAGACTTGAAAAGACTAGGCTGGGGAGTTGCAAAGTTTGTTGGCTTTTTGCAGGTGAGTTATGGAGTATAGATTTCTTCTCATTAAGCTATTACCCTTTCAATACGGGGATGCTATATTTAATAATTTAGCTGTTTAACACCAGATGATTTTATTCAGCTCAGACTCAGAGGGGACACAAGGGGTTAATCTGTAAAACACTGTGAGAGGTATGCAGGAGAACTGCCACAAGTCCACAGTGTACAAGTAAGTCTCAGGCTCTACATAATGTCAGAATGGTCTCCAGTGTATTGCAAACTACAATATGATATTTTTAGAAGTACTGTACTGTATAGCATAACATTTTATTCATATTTGACATTTTGTTGTGGTTGAAAGAAGAAGAAAAGCATTAAACTCTACAGAAAAACAGTTAAAAAAATCTCCTATCAGAGAAAAGTATTTTAGTAGATTACAGAGGAATGTACTGAGGTGACATACAGTACAGGTGAGTGATATGTGTTAAAACAGCTTCTTGTTACATTATCAATACAGTACTCTCAGGGACCATTGATAATATTACAAAATAAAAGGAGACAGATCTGTTCGAAAATTACAAAAACATATTATTAACCCCTTGTGCTTGGGTTCCCCCTCTGAGTTGAATACAATCATCTGGCACTGACCAAATAAGATATTTAAAAGTGGCATCCCCATAGTGAAGGGGTTAAGTTACCAAGTTCATGTATAGTTTTATATTTGTATTCATGATTATAATTACTAATTAGTCTTTGAGCTGTGTAATGAGATAACTCTGTGTGTATTTGTGGTTGTTTTTCTTCCAGGACTTAGAGGTGAATGGAGATAAAGACGACTCCCGAGTACTCCACCTAACAATCCACCGACCGTCTGCATCATCAGGAGCCACTGGCAGACCCACCACCCCCCTCTTGGCAGCAAAGTTCATATTTGACGACCATATACGATGTATGGCAGCTAAACAAAGGTCTGCAGACCGTTTGATTTTTTTTTTTTTTTTAATTCTTCCTTTACCTGTAGATAACACATCTCATCTCATTCCTATGACATTTAGATTTTTATTGGATATAGCTTAGAAGACAAGTTTAAATTCACACTGTATATAGAGAATGACACCATGTTTTCACTATGGACAGAATAATGCATCACTTGCATCAGTATCTACTGCTTCGGTTCATGAGTCTGAATCTTGGGGTTCGTGGAGCAGCAGGGGAGGTGACAGGACTTTTAACCATGACTACTATAAGTGCCTTCTTTGTACAGGTTTTTTGTGGTATCCTTATGTCTCTCAAACACCCTTTGGTGAGAGTACATCAAGCAAGAAGATAAGAAAACTAAGATGGAATTACTGTATATACAGTACATATTTATCCTATGTATTATATATTGTGGCTTTCAAATACAGTACAGTACATGTATCTATTTCCAGATTGACCAAAGGGAGGATTAAAGCACGACAAAGGAAGCTGCACCAGATCGCCCGGTTATTAGAGCTACCAAGCCATTTGCAACCTTGCCCTTCACCCCCAGCACATGCCCTTCACACCATGCGGCAAGAAGCCCACAGTGAGTCTCCTTCCACGTTACATTAGCTTGATCGCCTCTCCAGTTGATGACAGTTCTATGTCTTCTCATGTGAATTGTACTTGTACTTTTTTTTAGAGTGTAGCAGAAAGTAATAGTTACACATTGATAATATAATTCTTCTCTTAGTGTTGTGAGAATTACGTTTTGGTCTCAGTTTAAAGTTGGAGAGACCTTATACTGTCACAGTGAATAAGGAAGAGTCTACATTCACCTTCGTCTTGTGTCTTGCTGGGTGTGTAGTAACTGACAGCACTCACAGACATCATCCACAACTGTTACTGATCAGCTTTGTGGATGATGTCATTATTATTGTTATATTATAAAATTAAGGACAAAGCTTTATTATTATTATTACTATTGTTATTATGTCAAGGCTTTTTTCCACTACCTTGCAGGGCAGCTGGAATAAAGAGACAAAACAAACTCTCTCCTTTCACTCATCTTCATCTAATCACTGTTGTAACTTCCACCATAACTACTCACTGCCTTACTCTCACATCATACATGCCTGGTGCTGTTTCTTGACTCACAGATGACCCTTCCTATCACATCTCGTACTTCTTTCACCCCCACCCCTACCTCCTTCCGTCTTCTTTGTTGTCCCTTCTCGTTTTCACGCCATACACTTTTGAACTACAGTTAAGAAAAATCCAACTAGGTTGTGTTGGTCATCCTTAAAGAACATTGAAAGTGTAAATGATAAAGAATTGGCTCAGTAAGATAAAAAAAAAGAATGAAAGGAAACAGGAAAAGAGAGAGAACTGAGGAGGGAATAACAGCAATGGGAAGTCAATATCAATTAAAGAGATAGGATGAGGTTTAAGAACAAACTATCAAAGGGTGCATCTCTAGTGTATGTTTGTGATTACTGAGAGAGACCTGTGACCCTCTTAACTCAGATACACAGAGAGTCTAACCACATACTTTAATTTGCCTCCTAAGGTTTGTGTTCCGTCATGTTGTATACCATTCTTCTTCTGACTCTTCGTGTTTTCTTATCATCTACGCCTGTGAATTTCTCTATGTTTAAAACTGAACCAATTTTTGTATTCATGTTTTTATGTATTATATAGTTATTTCTATGCCTGTAGTATATACATCTTTGAGAGCCTTCTTTATTCCATTAGATAAACACGATGGATTGACAAGGAATGTCTTGACACATTTTGTACACCTTATTACACAACATACATCATACACTGCATACACATATATAGGGGAGGACTAAATAGTTTATGCCAAGTTTGTTTCAGGCCGCCTGTCAGGTCATTCCTCGCCCACCACTCCGTATAAGGCACCTACCTATTAAATGTTGAACTACCATAATGGAATTGACTGTCCTTTTTTTTTTACAACTGGATCTGTCACATAGATGAACTGGTAATTGCATTTATATATTTTTTTTGCTTTATAATATCCAATGTACTTCTAGGGGGGGTGGGGGGTATATGATCAGCTGACTCTCACATTCTCTTTAACTTTCTGTGTCAGATTCAGTTATTCTTTAGGTTTACTGTTAGTTCTTTTAGTCACAGTCAGTCTATTTTTTACTCTATTGCTCCTTTTTTTCACATGTATGTGTAGATATTGTTTATTTGTTTATATTCCCGTCATTATTTTTTTTTAGTTCTCTATTAATTCCATATCTCTCTCAGAAATACATCGTAGATCACTTGAACTGTTTTTGTTATGGTCTGGTCCACATCCACTTTTCTTACTCTCAAACATTGTCATGGCTTCAACTTCTAATTTCAATCACTATCTTGGCTTCACTCTACACTTCACTCTTGGCTTCACTCCTCACTTCACTATTCTAATTAGTTATCATCTTCATCGTTCATTACTCTATCCTCTGTTATTGTATTTGTTATCTTGTCCTCATCCTCGTCAGGTTCGCTACATACTTTACCTAAGTATTTCAAAGATGAACTCTCATACTTTTATCCGTTCTACTTAATGTGACAAAAGCCATATAATAAATATTGTAAGATGAACTAGTACCTGTACATATATAAATTTATTACATGCTGTGTAGGGATTATCTGATGTACAGTATTATCGCAAAATATAAATTTTTTAATGCTTTGGTTTATAATTTCCACTAGAGTGAATGAAAACTTTATTTTTAATATATATTTTTTCCTCAGTGGCTTAGCTGTTTTTGAGGAATTAATACACTGAAGACTATGTGGGTAAATTTACAGGGCAAATGCGACACCGCTCAAAAAAGTGACAGACATCTTCTCATCTGTCGGAGGCAGGGAACTGGGTCAAGGACATGGAGGGCAAGTGTCTTTGGTTTGTGCGTGTATGTGTGTGTGTGTGTGTGAGTGAGTGTGAGTGTGTGTTCATTTTGTGTGTATAGTTTATGGGATCTTAGGGTGATGGTTAATGGTTGGTGGGTGAAGGTGGCACACAGCTTTATTAGTGACATTAGATAGCAAGTGCTGATTAAGGCCTCGAGTTAGCAGTATTTTATGTGCTTAAACTAATACAGTGAAACCTCTATTCAACGGACTGTATGGAGACGGAATTCCATTATATCGAGGATCCATTAGATGCGAAAGCCTCCATCTAACGGATAAATATTGAAATCTGTTATGCGGAGGTTTCACTGTGATGAGTTTCATGAGTTTGTTGAGCCTAAGAAATATTTATAGCACTATTGTATATTATTTAAGTCATTCACATCATGTAATTATTAGTTGGCTGCATTATTGAATTTGTTTGCATTACAGAATTTGTACCGTATTCACATGGCTGAACACTTACCAAAATACTGAAGCTACACAACCACACATGACAAACTGCCTGAATTTCCTTAGTGTTTAATAGATTGATATACAAATTATCAGGGAGCACATTATAACTACTGTACTTTGTTTATACATCCATTTGTTTGTTCTATAATTTATGTTTATTCCTTAACTGAACTTATGAATGAAGTAAATGAAGCTCCACAAATATTTACCTTTACAAGACAGTGTGTTATGTACAGTCAATCACAAGAGTCCTGTCACCTCTTCTGATCCATGAACCCTGAGATTTAAGACTCATGAATCTGAAGCATTTATGGACAGAATAATGCATTGGTGTTTACTTCTTCTGGATCATGAGTCAGAATCTCAGGGCTCGTCTAACAGCAGGAGAGGTGAAAGGACTTTTTTTGGTCAAGGTCATAAAAACGTTTCAAAAGGTCAATTAATCTTTCTTTTAGGGAGATCAATCAATTAATGCCACTCACCTAATTTTTAAAATTGAGAGTTTTGGGCAAGTCCAACGAAGTGTTAACTATGTACGGGTATGTAATAAAGTTGTAGTTTATGGATATGATACATAATAATATACGGCAGGTTTAGTAAACTTATTACATTACTTACAGCCAACTCTATAATATATTAATTATGTTATTTGGAATGAGTTAAACTTTTGTGGTGTTAAGTGCAATGTGGTCTACCCAGAGTAGGTTCATGTGCGGTGTTATAGACATCAGGAAGTATATGGGATTTAATGCTGTTGGTGTGTAGTAATACTGTACAGCATTGACACTTAAGATGTTCTCTAAAGGATATACAATACCTTACCTAAGTGTGTACCTCAGAGCTTATTATCTTAATACTAGATTCCATAAAGATCCCTTTCCTATAAGCAGTTAGACTACTCCCAGTAAAGTTGACAAGGTATAGAAGTCTACCCTCATCTGTCCACCTGATTGTATTAACATTATTTATCTTGCTGAAGTTTGGTCTCTTCAGCTCATTAAGAGATTCAGGAGGAATATCACTCACATTATTGTTGGTCTGTGTGTGTGTGTGTGTGTGTGTATGTGTATTATGTACAATTCCCCTAAACCTTAAAAGCAAATTTTGAATGTTCATAAGCAAGATGTACTACAGCAGTGCTACTCAAAGTGTGGTCCGCGGACCGGTGCCGGTCTGTGAGCCATCGTCTGCCGGTACGCGGAGAGTTTTCAGAAAAGAAAGAAACGATAGTCACGTTCCACACCACGTGACACTGCCGGGACATCTGACTCGGTCTTTTTTTTTTTTACATTTTCATTGTAGTTTTTATATTTATTATGGCTATATTTTTCATTTACTCACTCATGTTAAAAGTCATTGCTGTGCAACTAACGAATGCGATATAATGAACAGCAAAACAGCGAACTGAAATACGTATAACAACACCTTCATGATGATGTGGCGTTTGACTCTGTGGGAACCACACCTGGGGATATCAATAGGGCGCATCACCTTGTGTTGCCAGAATTGCCACGTTTCTCGGCCACCAGTTACGCCATATCCACCCAAAACATAAATCTTTTTATTTTAAGTATGGTAGTTATTTAATTTCGGATAAAATAAATGTATGCATCCCATTAAAAGAAATGGCCGATTATTTACTATGCTTGCCAGCCGTGAAGGGTGTCACACAGCTGGCAACCCTGCTATTCCACACGTGTGGATCAGCAGTCTGTGATGTCAGGTCACAGGTCAGTGGTTAGTTACCATCAAGAAGTGGAACAGAGAGCATCATACGGGTATCTGCGTGTTTGTCATTTGGGACCCCATCCCAACCCACTTTTATATTCATTATATTTTTCCTGTATAAAATAATATTACTACGAATGTTCAAATAATATTTTCTCTGATCGTAAGCAATTAATTGTATGGCACAAATATGGTACTGGTCCCTGGCACACTGGGAAGACTTGTTACGTCAATGATGATCGGCCTTAGAATGAATAAGACATCATGTCTTCATGTTTAGTACAGATAGTCTCAAAATGCCCCTGAAATAGGACATATCTCAAAAGATTTTCCTGGGGGGGGGGGGCCTATAGGCCCCGGGATTGGCTCGCTTCGCTCGCCAGTCCGTGGCACATTGAAAAAAAACCATGCCGGTCCGCCACATCAGATAGTTTGAGAAGCGCTGTACTACAGTACTGTAGTTTATTTGATGGGCGGGAGGGAAACACTGGACAAGATCTAAGTTTCTTTATTTCTCTAATGTTTCTGGCTACACAAAACCCATCTTCAGAGAATACATTAAGATGGGTTCTGTGTAGCCTGAAATGTTAAAAAAAAAGAAAAAAAACTCTATCCTGTGTTTCCCTTCCACCCATCACATCCACTTGTCATCATGAATAGATCACATTAAGTTTATGTTTAAAACACTTGTACTGTATTTTTTTGACTTTGTGTAAAACTTCTTAGAATTTTACTGTAGAGTTAGAACTTTGACACTTCTGCTGGAGGTTTACTGGACCCAGAACTAGGATCCCTGAAGCTGGATCACAGTCAGAGTCTGATTCGTGATGCTAAATATGTCAAAACGAATTCTTAGTGATTAGTGAGGACTGAACTTTGACTCCAGGACCCCAAAATATTATTAAGTTTTAATTTATGATTCCTGATATTTAGTTTTTTAAATAGATACAGTACGGTACCCTAAAATCTCCTGTACATTTGAAGATAAGTTCAAATATGATAGGCATGTGAGTAAAGTCCCATTTTAAACCACTATGGTATATGAACTCTTAAATGGTTAGGTAAAGTACTACTGTATACCAAAGTACTCTGATAGTCTAGATGTGTACAGTATATATATACCATCTGTCAGGGTTAGAGTAACTGATATGAGGAAGTAAAGATATTTCTTCTTCAGATCAGTTTTTACACTTAGTGTTTAGAATGCATGTTGATATAGTACTAAAAAAGGGATGGAAAACAACCTAAAATGTTTTAAGGTAAGTACTGAATAGGTTACTTAGAGTTGTTAGAGTTATTAATGTAGAGTTGATATTTAATGGTTGACAAACAGTGATCATGGTAGATATGTAATTGATATCTTAAACTGGGGGTAATTATAAGTGTGTGATGATGTGGAATCTACTTTTTTACTTAAAGGACGTGGACTGAGCCGAGCTGTTGCTGCAGATGGACGCAGCCGTAGTCAGTCACACCGGCCAATGTTTAATGTAACTCGTGTGCCGGGTTTTGCTCTGAAACGTGAAGGTGGAACAAACCAACAAACTATCTCAGATGCAGGTGCAGTACACTATGTGGGTTTTTATTATATGTGATGTAATTTATTTATAATTGTCCTAATTGATCAACCATGTATTATAATCACTTCAATTTTAATGTGAGTTATATATTAGCTCAGGAAATTAAATATCCATGTAGGTTATATTTGTCATTTCACATCTAAACACATTTTTCTCCTCCTGTTATCAGTTTGTTTTATGATCAGCATCCAAAAGCATTATGTTTCATCAGTCTTTCTTACATCCTCATTCCTCAGCTCTTTCTCTTTTAACCTCTTGTGTCCGAGGTCCCTTCAGTGCTGAATAAAATTGTCTGGAGATCATAAAATAAAATATAAAAACTGGCGTCCTCGTAGTCAAGGGGTTAGGATAACTTGTGAACGTCATTTTACTAGGCTGTCAGTGTTGATTCATTCTTGGTGTACCTCCATAATGCAGTGTACTTAATATTGGAAGAACAAATACTTATAATGTATACAGCCTTAACAACATCAACCTAGAGAAGTCGACTTGTGAAAGAGACCTAGGGGTACTTGTAAGCCCGGACCTACGGCCTAGAAAACAGTGCGTTAATGTTCGAAATAGGGCAAACAGAGTATTGGGTTTTATATCTAGAAGTGTAAGTAACAAGAGTGCAGAGGTCTTATTGCAACTATATCTTGCGCTAGTTAGGCCGCACCTCGATTATGCGGTTCAGTTCTGGTGCCCCTATTATAGAATGGATATAAATTCACTAGAGTCGGTGCAGCGAAGAATGACAAAAATGATTCCGGGACTTAGAAACCTTCCATATCAGGATAGGTTAAAGAAACTTAACTTGCATTCCCTAGAAAGACGAAGAGTGCGGGGAGATATGATAGAAGTATTTAAGTGGGTGAAAGGAATCAATAAAGGGGATAGATAAAGTTCTTATAATATCCGAGCAGGATAGGACTCGAGCAGCGGATTCAAGTTGGATAAGTTTAGGTTTAGGAGGGAGATAGGAAGAAACTGGTTCACAAATAGGGTGGTGGACGAGTGGAACAAGCTTAGCAACTTTGTAGTAAGTGCGGGAACTCTGGAAAGTTTCAAAAGGAGGCTAGATAGATTCATGGATGATAGAGAGTGGTAGTAACTCTCGACAGGAGCTGCCATGCACAGGCCAACCGGCCTATTGCAGACTCCTTATGTTCTTATGTTCTTATGTATTTATACCTTATGTTTTGTACTTCATATCCAACCTCAGTTAATGTACACAGTGACCATATACTCTAGTGTCTGATGGCACTTGTCACTACATTACTGTGTGTTCTAGTGCATCTTATCATACATGCTTCCTCTGATAATTGTTTCCACTAAAAACAAATCACATTTGTCTCATTTACAGTACTTTATAATTAATAATTTTGACGTACAGTATTTACTATTTTTTATCAAATATTTTTTACATCGTTATTTCTTTATTTTACCCCAAAGAAGAAAATGCAAGCAATTGTGCAGGACGATCTGAATCCCAAAGCCCGAGTCGTAGTGGTCGTCAGAGTAACAGACAGCCACAGGCCAGTCACGAGAGAGGCTCACGCTCCAGTTCTCGACCCCGCCCACGTAGTGAAGAAATACCTATGGAAGACATGATGGCTTCTGGGGGTGTTCCCCAGGCCTCCCCATCTTTGCCTAAGGTTTGTCTCTCTGCTACAACTCCTCGGTAGCTGGATGTATAACAGTAAGAATAATATGAGCCACAATTTGACTTATATTGAGAAATTTAAGATGCAGAAATGTGATATACCATAGATTAATGTAAGGCAGTGCAGTATTTTGCCTGTGTAATATAGTAGACCCTGAGGCTCACATTAATTTTCCTAAAAGTGAGTTAATGATGGGGAGTATGTCATTTGTAGCGTTTCAGAGACAGCTTCTGATTCTAATAGCCAAAGGTTTATATAATTTCTTTCAACTGCCTCTGACTCTGCATTTCATGCTAATCTAATGTTAAATATGAACTCTGATCTTGAAATTCCTTTTAGAGTGCAAGAGTGTCTCCATAAACTACCTAGTAGTTACTGTGAATTTCTCCTCAGTTTGATGAGTATCTGTTGAAAATAAGTACAGTATAGTATATGAGAATGATTGAATAGAAAGTAGTTACACAGGTAGTAGACAGAGACAGGAGAGCTGCATTTGATAAAACCTCCATTGTAAATATTACGGTATGCCAACTGTAGAATATAATATTATGTAATTTGGAAGGGTTATGTTTACTACTGTTCAACATCCATGAACACCTATTAACAGATACTTTTGGCACAGTTGTGAATAAAGCAGTATAGGTTGTAAGCTGTGTCACCGTCATACCTTGTTTGATGTCTCATTGAAATCTACTCTTCCATAATTAATACTTTTCCCAGAAGTTCAAATGTTAGAAATTAGTGTCTTATTTATGTCAGAGGATAGAGATATATGTACAGTAACTTGATGGAACTATGCCTAAAGAACCCATCAATATATCTCTATACATAAATTCATCCATATTCTATAAACCTTTTTCATCTACATTGTCAGAAAGTTCATCTAGATCTTTCCTCCAATTCATAAGAGAATCTTATTAAATTCCTGAACTGTTCCCTCATTCTTATCTTCTTACCTCTCTTTTGGTTTTCTTCTTTATCTTCCTCACACATGTACACAACTTGTTATCCTTTGCAACAGCCATATCCAGCCTCCTATGGATGTTGCTCTCATTGTTAAATCAAATAATTTAAAGTTCTTTACCTTATTAATAACCAGTCATTCACTTCCCCCATACTTCTCCTTCATGTCCAACAATCTGCCTCTTCAATTCATGTTTTCTACTGTTATTTCCCTGGTCAGCATGACAATGAAATCCAATCCATCTATCTTTCCCATCCTTTTAATCCTTTACACAGTGGACATCATTCTTTTTAATGTCACCTCTTCCCTTCTACTTCCTTTCATGTTCATTCACGATTTTCATTCCTTGTACTTCTTGTTTATTGGAGTCCCTGCCCTCTCAGACTTTCTACAGTGATATCTCCGTTAGCAGTAACAATTGGTGCAGAGTACTTCCGGGAATGAGAGATTTCTGGGTAACGAGACGACTCTCTCAAAGCCGTAAAAAATCCCTCATCCCCGGAATTTTCCGGGTAACGGAAAAATTTGCTCAGAAGTTCCAGAAATTGCCCATTACATCATCTCTCGAACCCACAAAAAACTCCCTCATCCCCTGAATTTTGCAGAATTTTCCAGAAAATTACGGCTCTGGAAACGATTTTCCGAGAAAATTTAAATTCCGACTTTTGGAGAGTTCCGGGTTTGAGGGATTCCGGCTAATGGAGATATTACTGTATTTCACTTAAATTCCACAACTTTCAGCTCAATAAATATAGGACAGTCGTTCACCTCTTTATTACATTACTAAATCAAAGAATTTCATCTCGTATTTGATGTACAGTACAGTATTATGTTAACTCCTCACATTGAGTGTAGGTCACTTCATCCTTTATATTACAGTCACAATTTTGTGCCCCATGTCTATCTCAATATAAAAGAAAAAAGTCAATATGCTAAGTCATTCTGACCATATACTACTGTACAGTAAATCTTGTCCAGTCTACAGATTTTCAATCCATGATTTGTCAGTTCATGGCTCTATGAAATGTATTTGTAATACAAAATGTACATTATCTGCACAAACTTGCACCTTTTATTGAATGAAACAATGATATAAGCTGGAAATGAAGAAAAATACCATTTAAAATAATTTGAAGTATTTTAATGGGAGAATTGGTAGAATTAAATTGTTTATAAATGATGAAAGTAAAATTTCCAACACTTGTATGAATTGTCTCCAACTTTTTTCCTAAACAGGTTTACCTCCATTTAATACAGCTCTGTACTGTGCATGTATTCCTGTAAAACACTATACTACAGTATTAATTGAAGCACATTTGTTCATTGCAGAACTGTATCTGAAAATATATTTTTAACCAAAGATGTTGGGCATTAAATTAAAGGCTGGCATTCAATTGGATGATTCTGTTATGGGGATTTACTATACTTTACCTGTAATATTTTTTCTTGGGTCGCTATAACCATGTCATATAAGAGCAACCTTATTTTTTTGGTGTAATCTAAGTATAAAATTGATTTAAGTTGCTCATTTTCAATCCAGTTGCCTCATCATTTATTTTATTCAAAAACATTCTTCCAATTTCTTTTTATTTAGATCACCTTGAATGACCTGTGTTCAGTTCATCTCTTGGATTATACTTTTATTGTCAATCTTTTCTTTCCTTTCATTTATTACATAATTCATTCACTTCCATACCACCTTTGTCCTCACTTTTGAAATCATTATACCCCCTACAGTATCTATATTTTTTTTATCAAACATATTGAAATTGCTCTCAGTACAAATTTGTACAGTTGTTCCCTGCACCCCACAACCCACAGAGCTGGATTATTATACCATCATTCAACTGTTTAGGCAACAGCAGTTCACACCATTACAGTAATACTGTACACTTCATCGCTCACACTACACCTGAATACATTTGAGATGTTAATGGAGATACTGTTTTTTTTTTATATAGGATGAGCACTCGTGGTTAAGTTTGGTAATACTGTATAGTTTATAAAAATTAGTTCAACACTATCCTTGTCTTGAATGTCCCCAACCTTGGCTTGTTCAAAGGCACCACAAGAAAGGATTCAATTCACCAACAACTATTGTTTATCGGTATCTTTATACTGTACTAGTACATGGGTAAACAGATTGCAGTATTAATCTTTATAAATATATATACACACAGACCTATTTGTATTTGCCTATGTATATATATAATGCCCCTTAGCATATAAACACTGTATTTATCTCTGGGTTAGCATGAATTACATATATGACATCAGCAAAAAAATATATATATTATATATAGTGATAGAAGCTATAAAATTTTAATAGATATTCCTTCATTAGTTGACTTGCATCACCACCTTAGTTTAGTGTTTATAAAATTTATTTATTGTGAAAATTTCATGGATGTTTATGCCGGTACTGAAAGGCAGGAGACAGTATAACAAGAGTTTGGTCCATAGTTAGATTTATACAAGTTAAGCTATACTGTATAGTTGTTACTGAAAAAAGTAGTTAATATTATGTAATAAATATTCTTCTTGTGATTGCATTGAGCTACCAACACTGGGAATTTTATCATGCATATATTTTTTTTAGCTATATATGGTGCTGAAGATTGAAGAGTGACATTATTATTAGCTTTCTAGTCATAGATTTTTGGGGAATAGGAATAGATAACCTTTCTGTTCTGTAGCCACTGAACACCTAATTTACTTCTGATATTTTTAAATTATGTGCACAAAGTAATACTGATGATGATGTATCTTGATCCATCGGGTAGGTGAATGTAGAGAGTACTAGCTCCCCTCAGGGCAGTAACAGCAGTAGCTGTTCTAGCACTGCAGGAGAGGCCACTGCGGTAGAAAGAGGCATTTCTGGAAATCTCGAGTCACCTGCAAGGCCCAACGTCATTAGTCCTGGAATAGACGAGGGAGTGTGGCCCTGTGCATCACTTGTGGAGAATCCTGAATTGTCTCCTGGCCCCACACGTCTCCTTCCACCTCTCAGCTATGTTCCTCCTCCACTCCTCCTGCCAGCTGCTAGTGATTCTCATGTCTTCCCTGTTGAAAATGATGGAAACAATTTGATGACTCCTCCTTCGCACATAAACCCTACACCCCATATGCCAGCTAGCCCTCCTCAGATGGATGAGAAAGAAACTTCCTTTACTGCCAAACTTCCCCTCACCAGAACTGGTGTGGGTTATGATGTCTTTGAACCCCATACTAATGGCAATGTTAATATTGATAGCCAGATACGAGACAGTCCAAGGAATAGTGTTGGTTCGGCTGACTTTAGCCCCATACGTAAAGGTAGAGTTAAAGGAAATGTAGAGACTGTTTAGTGGGTAAATTTTAAGTATTGTGTCCTCATGTTGTGATATCATCATTTCTCTGCTTTATGTCTCCAAAGGATGAAGTTTAATTTGATAGACTATTTAAAAGCTCTTCTTTTATTCATTTTTGTTATCTTTATAATTAAGTGAAAATATTTTCAGAGGAGAATGCAAATGTTGATATAGTAAATTTATTGTTATATTTTATTTCCTTTTGCAGTTTTCAAATGGTGTTGTTAATATGTTACTAAATAATGTTATTACAGTTCAGAGTTTAAGGGGTTAAGGGTTCAGCATAGATTAACATATGTACTGTATTCAAATCATCTTTTACTTTACGAATGTTGGCTTCAGAAAAGAAAATATATATTTTACTGCAATACCAAAGCAAAGGAAGAATCAAGATGTGCACTTAAGTCCTTGGAGACACACTTGAGAAATAAATCTTAATTCCTACAAAGAGTGATGTTGATTTGTTAGTTAATTATTGCATTAAATATAGTATTATGTACTGTATATACACTTGAGAAAATGTGGAGCACTAGATAAACAAATATATGATCATGTCTCTTAAGCCAGAGTGGAAGAAGATCCATCCTCATGAGTCCTGTAAGTACCTTAAGCTATTTGTAAATTTATATTGTATCATACATTGTTACTGCACTTAAATGAAACCATTCTGAATTTGCTTAATCTGTCTTGGTGAATTACAGTGAGGCTTTTGGTTAATGTTTTGTGTAATACTCCCGAGCTGTGTTTGGGTCATATGTGCAGTATATTAGTTTTCAGTATTTATATATAATTTTACTAAGGTCTCATTTTTCTTTATGTAGTGAGCAGTGACTAATAACATTATTCACTCAGCAAAAACCCCCAAAACAGTCTGTAACAAAGTACCCCTTGTAATAGTTTTATCACATCACTGTTTGAGTAATGGCCAAATTTTCTTCTAAGATGTTACAAAATATTTTTTAGATATTTATATTCATGGAATCCCAGTAACAGGTGGGATTTAAGAGTATGCTGCTCACTTCTAACACATATGTCATGTGAACATCTCTCTGTTGTGTTTTGAGTATTACAGTAACCTATATTTTGTAAGATACGATGACATGCCATCCTAATGTTCTTCTGAAGAAAGGTAATATTGTAGTTCTTATATGTAATGCAAAACTTAAAGGGAAAAGTTAAAATAATAGTTAGGATGTACAGTATATACAGGAGTTATGGTACTGTGTGTCTTTTCTGGAGTTTTCATTACAGCACAGCAAACTCGGGAACTATCCAAAATGTCATCCCAGCATATGTACTAAGTGATGCCCCCTATTTCTTTACCTATTTTATAAATTTGTGTAACGTTTCGATTTTTTGGGCAATTTGCAATTCAAATTGCACACACAAATTACTTATAGATGGACATCAATCAAATGAGAACTTTCTAGATTTGCCAAGACGTGATAGTTAACGCACAGCCGTGAGAGGAAGAATGGGCACATGCTTCTCAACAAGTCAATCATTGCCGCAGTTTTTACATATCTTTTATACATCCTTACATTTATTATATGCTAATTGTTTTAATGTCTTAAAAGTGGTGAAACTGGGACATAGGTGATGGTGGTCAGAGAGGGAGAACATACACCTGCCTCTCAATTGTATTTTATTTTTGTTTTTTATCAAGTGTTTCTCTACAAATATTCAGCCCAAACACCTCACAATTCTCGGCAGGGAATGCATTCCCTCTTAAAACATTGTTTCTTATGGAAAAATTAGCTTCTTCTATCATAAGCCGTTTCAGGAATGGAACATTTGCAATAAACAAGGATTTCCTGTATGTACTCTATTTAGAAATAGTAAATTTTATCCAAAATAATAAAATAAAAACAATTTAATTAAAGGAGGAATTAATTGAAATAACCAAGTGTATGTGGTGAATGTCTCCAGGGGGACCAGTACAGTAATGTGGGAATACTTTAGGGCTTAGAAGTTTGTTTCTGAAAATGAAACTCATTAACATTATTCTTGTATCACCATACTTGTAGACCTCCCCGAGTGGTTGGAATCATGTTACAAGAATCTGTGGATGACAGATTGATGAACAGGGCATTTGCAGTGTTTATTCTGAATAGAAACAACTTTTTTTTTCAAATCAAATGTGGTTCCTCAAATTTCACATGTAATAAGATTCATGGTATTTCTTATGATTAATTGGCAACTTAGGTTTTGTAAACCATGTAATATACAGTATGCAGATTTTTTTTTTATTATTATTATTATTGTAGAAATGAACCAAAATTGCTCAAATGGAAAAGAAACTGACACTATATCACCTTTGCCAAAATGTTTGTAACCTGGAAAGTACATAAATTCTACCTCACACCATCCCAGATGCAGGACACATTTTATTTTCTTGTCAGTGTTTACCTATGTGTGCTAAGCTTAGCATTGCACATTCAAAATAGTTTGCGAGTTACTTGATTTACAGTCCACTGTACTTTGGAAATATTTTAAATACTGTAATGCTCTGTTCTTGTATCAAGTGATTAAATTATATCCAAAGTTTTCATAAGTCAGATTGTAAGCAACATGAAGCTTGATTATTGATGAAGTGTTTTGAGGATGATAACATTAGCTTAAAAAATAATGAAAACATAGTTTACAAACAAAACTAATGGACTAACACTCATCAAGAATCAAACTAGGAAATTATATATTTTATATTTTGAATATCTGAAATCACCTCACCTGCCGCGACTAAAACAGAAAGGAATGAAGATATTTATTTCTGCCAGTTGTTTTTAATTTTATCTCAAGTTCCATCATGTGAGGCAAAAAGTGAGTTGTGTGCCATACAGTGCAGTTGTTACTTTTATAAAATTTATTTTTAGTGCCAACAATACATACTGTGTCATATATTGTACTGATAGACGTATTGTTTCAACACCAGTATTTTTTATATGTTATTGTCATGAACTGTTTTGTGAAATTTCATTTTTGGGAAAGTACTGTACATATAGGCTGATAAATTATATTTTACTTTCTGAATTGACAATGACTTCCTTGCATTTTCCATTTGATTACCTTCTGTGAATATTCTTTCATGCCTTTATATATCTTTTGAATTTGTTCTTGACTATATCATGTCGTCAACCTCTAAATACTTCTCAATATGTACAGTACTGTATTCATTTTCTCCCGGGGTCAGCAGTCTTCTGTCTAGTACATGTCATCTGCTCACACTCTACAACCCATTTGACTATCACTGGCTATTGCACTCATGTTGTCATTCTCTGGTAAACTATTGCAGATAGCAGTTTAAAAATTTTATCTAGAAAATGAGTTAACATTCTTTTTATTAAGTAAAGTGAACACACAAGGAAAATCAAATAATGTATTATAGTAATTTTAAATGTTCACTTCTGATATATAAAGCCCTTCACTTAATTATGTATACTGTAATTAAATGGTGAAAAGATAATGAACTTTGTCATTAGGAATGAATCTTTGTACTGTTTAAGTTGTTCATTTTTTGTTACTTCAATTGTTACACTGCAACTTTTATTTAAACAATATATTAGAGATTTCATTCTAAGTTCTAATGTACCCTACAGCCCTAAAAAAATAAAGTATCATTCCTCATTTATGAAGGACGTGTAGAAAAGTTATCCTCTTCAATAACTTACTGTATAATATTTTATGCTATGCATTGAGACCTCCAATATCATGTACATACACTATTTAATCTCATGTTCAGTATGTTAACTGGAGTCAAGCAATAGCCTAACATAATGCAACCTACAGAAATAATTAATTTGTGTTTATTTTGTTTTATATAAACAGAAAACCTCCCAAAAGTGGACCTTCATTTAGTGGACACCTTCCATGAATAGATGGACTGCAGTCCACTGATGTTCTCTGCTAATGGGTAAAATATGCTAAAGAGGTATTTCCCATTATCAAATTTTCTAGTTGCTGTGGCATGAGTCAGAATGTTTTAATGGAAGACATCAGGGTAAAATCTGCCTTGCAAGAGGTCTTTTCTTTTATAATTTGCTTTTGTTCTAGGCATCTAGCATCAGTCTTAGCTTGTGGATGAGTAGTGTGCAGTGTACAAACCAAGTGTATTTTGGTACACACCACATGCAGAGATCAACTCATATGAGAATGAGGCATTGTGATATGTGTCCCCTCCATTAAGTTTCCCTCACTGAAGCTGTGGTTGTATGAGCACTTTTACAGGTATTAGCAATTTCTTTACTGAAAGCTATTTCAAGCAATTTTGGGTAATATTTTTCTGGACGATTGTGATTGTCAATTGTTGATGATTTCAAGCAAGATTCCCGAGTCAAAACGCAGGTAATACTATATTTAGTGCCACGAGTTAATATCATTATGAATAAAATGCACTAACAGATTTTTCTACAAGATATAGCAATTATAACTTGGGTGCTGTTTTGACATGTTTGTTTTAAAACCAATCTATAATAAACGTTTTCAGTCCTCCACCTCACTAGCTACTTACAAGTCCACAATCATTTTTTCATTGATTCTCATTTCTTTTTAATAATAAAAAGAATACCAAGGATAGTTGCTGCATTGTCTGCATTAATCTTCCTTTGTTGTTGTGATGTTCTGTTTCCCATCTACTCACATGACGGCGTTCACTTGTTTTTTCTTGCCGTATAAACTGGTGTAAGAACCGCCCATGTGACCACATTTTAAAGAAAATCGTATTTTCTTGCTCCAAGATTCCTTCTTTAAATTAACTGCTCATTAAAGCACTCATACGACCCCGGCTTAACGTGTGTTATTGTGAGAAGGGGAATGATGTACAGGTACTTAAAACATTTTCACTTATTACAGTACAGTAATATCAAGCACCATTGCTATGATGTTCACAAAAGTACAAGTGTGACCCAGTAAAGAACACATTGTGTAATGGGATGTTGTTGACATGGTAAAAATATGTACATAGCCATGCCACAAAAGATGGGTTTGGCTGGGAAGGTTACAAAGACTAGACTACTGATCCAGGAAAATTGATAGTTGCCTGCACTGTCAAACAACCACAGCCAACAGTTAGGTAATGTACAAATTATGTAGTGCATGCACAATGGAACCATCCATTAAGGCCATGTTACTCCCTACACTATACTAAGTTTGTTGTTTTACTGCAAATCATTGGTATAACGATCACTTACATGTGAGGGTTAACTGTACATGTATCATCATTTTATATTACATATTTCTTTATTTGATCGTACAGTAATTGCTCCCATCACTGAGAGTACAGTACTGTAGGTCATAACAGAGACTTTATTCACAGAAAGCTTGTACTCTAGCAGTTGCCAATATAATTTTAAATAGTAAGTTCCTGTGAAGTTTGAAGGATTCACTTAGCTTGGATAGTTTAATTTTGATACAATAAACTTTGCTTTGAGGTTTAATTTTATAACCTGCAAAAAATGTCATGGTCACTATGAGGCCATACACAAAGACACTGCTGGTTTCGCATGTGACATCAACACTGTTTGGTAAGTAATACATACAGTGTTATTTTCACTTTTTTTATTACCATAGATGTGAGGGATGCCATTTCATGTTATGTTATTGTAATGAATCATTAAATTGTTCATGAGTCACTAAAAATAGCATTTGACACATCTGTTTGTGCATAGCAATTATTATCCTGTTGTAGTACAGTATTATTGAGTATACTGCTTGACAAAGGTTCCCCATCAATATATGGTCATTAATGTACAATTCATACAATATGTAAATTTTGTAAACTAAACACTTACTTGTAGGTACTTCATATGTCAACTTTTTGTTACTGTACAAGGAAGAAAATCAACCAAACTTTTGTAATGTTATGGATGGTTCAAGATTATGTTGATGTAAAATATATTATTAATGTGGGGGCTTCAGGCTGTCCCACAGTAATCGTTCTGTCCGTCCGTCCTTCGTGTACGTAACACCATGTATCATGTCACCCTACAGCTAGCCATCCCAATTTTTTACCAAACATGTATCTCATCATTGGCCAAAAGCCTTTTTTGAGATGAATGACCCTGACCTACTTCCTAGGTCAGGTCATTTGTCCTCAAATGATGTTACTGCATTATATCATGAAGGATTATAGCTAGGCTTACCAAATAGATTATGTATCTAATCATGGCCCAGAGCTTACGGTAATAGAGATCAGTGACTGTGACCTATTTTTTAAGATGACAAGGTCAGTTGGCTTCAGATGACGTTATCACTCTATCTCATGATTGTGGCGAAGCTTGCAAGATCTATATAGGCTACAGTATACAGTACGGTATGTCATCATGACTCATAAGGTTATTGGTGTGGTGATGATGATACATTTTCAATGTCACCTTCATAACAAAACAAAACAAAACGTGTTTATTATCATGAGCCAGAAGTCAATCAGACGTAAATGTCTGACCCAATTTTGAAGGTCACCTGTCCATTAATTTTTGTAGGTGCGGAGCCCTGAGTGACTCCTGTGTGACAAATGCATCTAATAACTTCATGTACATTAATGATTGATAAGAAAAAATAAATTCAAAATGAGTTTGTGCAGGACTCATATTTTATATACTGTAAACAAATGCTATTAGTGAAATACTTGGATATTATTAATACTGTATATTGTAGATAAACCAGTTCTAGTAAATGAGTTTTTTCTTCAACCTTATAACATGCACCGAGTGTGAGCTCATTCAAGACCAGTCTTGACTACCACTGGTGCAGGTTCCGATATATTCAGGAGCCAGTGCACGCCCAGTATACAGTATGCTAACCAGGGCCGGATTAAGCTTAATAGGGGCCTGAGGCACAAGTCAACTTGGGGGCCCCCTACCCCTAATGTATATGTAAAAATAACAAGAACAAAATATACCCAAATTTATCAATGATTTCATCAATATTAAGCTAATGCAAAATAACACATTTAATGTTCATAAGAGACAGAAAATTGAGGCTTTGCTAGGACATAGTTGAACGAAATTCATGTTTTATACGCTTCAACTTCGAGAATGTTTGGATTTGGGGGCCCCTTAGAGTCGGAGGGCCTGAGGCCAGTGCCTCATGGTTAATCCGGCACTGATGCTAACAGTGCGTATCAGGAACGTGACCCATACGGCCACGTTGCCGATCAGTGGTGAACAGGATAAAGGTAAAAAAGTCTTACAGAATGAGATACTGTAGCGTACTGTCGTGGCAGGTTGTCAGGGTCTCTTATTTGGCCTCACAACGTACGTACATGAAATATATCCAACACTCAGGATTGAGGTAGAAATAGAAAATCACAGTGTTTCTCGTAGATATATTGTTGCACAGCACAGTGTTAAAGAGATACTAAGTTGGGCGAAGCTTGCTCAGAGTTCCTGTAGGGCAAGGAGCTTTCTGAGGGAGCGTGTGTATGGAGCTGTTGAGAGATGTTGCTTGCTGGTGGCGGCAAGTAGAAAGAGAGCGATGATGGCCAGGTGAGGTCTTATATAACCGCGGTAGGCGTGACTTGATGGAAGGCCCCCGCTTGGTGTCGCTGGTTACCTGACCTTGACCACGAGGGACACGCGGTAGATGGTAGTGTAGTGGATTTCTCCCCTACAAACGCTGTTTGTCGCTGCGTAGCCGACCCCGCGAATTCCCCAGTGTATGCCTCGTGGTCTAGGTCAACCAGCGCCGCCATACATCACGGAGGTCAACTACTAAGCCACGCCTACCCCCCGCTATTTAAGACCTGACCTCGTGGTGATCTCTCTCTTTCTACCTACACCAACCAGCCAGCAACACCACCTCCTCCTCCGCCGCTGCCTGGCGGCCCTCGCTCCCGCTGGCGAGCATGGCGACCCACAAGCTGTCCTCCTCTGAGCGTCCTCACCAACCAGCTCTCTCTACATCACGCTTGTAACCATGCTGCCTTCCCAGCACCAAGCTGCATTGTACATCCAATACAACATGTATACAGAGAGCACATTGTGAGGTTCCTTTCTCCATCCCACCCTGAGTGTGAACCAAACAACCCGCACCCCACAGTAGATTAGATTCGCGGGGGGTCGGCCAGTCAGCGACACATGGCGTTTGTAGGGGAGGTCTCCACTTCAATACTGTGTAAGTATTTCAACAATTACTAAATATATTAACTTTATTACAACCCCAATACTGTAGAACATGTGTACAACAGGACATGATAGTAAGAGGAACTCAAACACGCTTCACATGTGTCTTGGGCCAACATGAACCACGAGATGGTGACGGAGGAACATAAATCATTCAACTTTCAAGAATGACTTAATTAATAGTAAAATAACTAATACTTGATCAGTATTAACTTTATATATTATAAGCAATTATTTTTCAATAATTATTGCCAAATAATTTTGTATTTTGAGACTAATAGTTACCATTAATAATATCATATGACTAGTTAGAATAGCAAGTTTATTATGGTATTATAAGCGTATATATAATGTTTTATATATTAATTATATATTAATAAATAAACTTTAATAGTTAAAGGGAAATTTTAATAAATATATTATAGTGAATTTGTAGATGTTGACAAATTGTTCGGCTGCCCAATTACTGACTTAAGTTTAGTTTATTATTAATATGCAGTATTATCATTAGAGGGAAGTTCATCAATAATTAAATATTATATTTAAAGTATAATTTAATTATATTATGTAATATTTACTACTGAAATACTTTTATTATAGTAATGATAATAAAACCTTGTAATTATTGAAAGATAAGAGAGAGAATCGGACAACGTGTACCAGGTTAACAACAAGCTTGGTGGTCTTGTGTTAATGTGTGGGCCTTCCTCCCTCCCTCATGGTAAGTTAACATTATGTATGTATGGTAAAATTGCAGTTTCAGCCAATAGGCCTTAGTAGTTATAAATTAGTTTATCCTGTGTATTTTGGTGTGATTTAATCGACTTTGACCTTAATTCCGGGGAGGAAGTACCCGTGTTAGAGTCAGCCTCCCCCCCCCCCACACAACAAAAAAAGGCGTGGAAACTTTAAAATGAATTTCTGGTGTTATTCTTTGCCTTCTGGTTGAAATGGTGCTCGAAATACTCCAACTAAGGTGATCTAAAGGTTGGGGATGGTTAAAGCAGTTGGCCGTGTATTGGCCGAAACTGCAATAATATCATATGTATGTATGTATGTATTTGTCCATTGGTTGTCCTCAGGTTTGGGTATGAGAATAGGTTGTTTTGACGTTTTTCTGCGTGTTTTACTCAAATCTGACATTCATTTCTTGTGCAAATTAGCGGTTATTGCAAGAAAAATAATTTTTAATTTTTATCAGAAACTGCTAATTTGCACAAAAATGGAGGTCGAATTTGAATAAAAAACAACAACTGTTCCCATACCAACGGAACCAACCAACCTACCTAACCTGACCTGACCCACAAGGAGGAGGGGAGAGGAGGATAACCTTAGTAGAGGAGTATAACCTTAGGTAAACATAGTGGGAACCTGCAGACATCCAATGGACTAATATTAACCTGTAGTATGTATGTCCTTGTGAAGTAAATAACCAGACACAGTACAGTAAGTAAAGTGTTGCAACACAAAGCTGATCACATCACACTTTTGTTTATCTTTGTTTACTGTATAATATATACTGATATATTTTATATATTTATGTACTGGTATATTTTATATATGTATTTATTGGTATGTTGTAAAGGTAAATATTCGTTCATTGGCTCTCCTCAGATTTTGATACAACAGTAGTTTTTTGTGTGTATTCTGGCCTTCATTTCTGGTGCAAATTAACGGTTTTTGAAAAAAATAAGGAATATTTTCATTTGTAACAGAACCGGTTAATTTTCACCTAAATGGCGGTCAGTTTTGAGTAAAACATTCCATAAAACACACACAAAAAACTAACCTAACCTAACTTAACCTAATCATTTTTTGGAGCTTTCCTAAATACAGTATAATATTTTGTGCTTTACAGGAGATGTTACAACAAAACTTTTGGAATTTGAACTGCTCCATAACAGATGAAAATGATAACTGGAGCATGGAACAAGACCTTCCACCAGCACTATCACCAACACTCTACCACCACCATGGCACTCTCACCACTGCCACCACCACAGCACCACCACCTATAGCAAGGTAAACTATAGGAACAGCTCTCATAGCCTATACGGGAAATATTTGTGCCCGTCAAACTCTTAAAACAAGTTAATGTTAATGTACTGCTGTTAGTCATTTGTCTGTTTGTCTGTCTGTCTTTCTTTTCTATATCTTTCTATCTATTTAACAGTTAGTGGTTCCCAGCCTGTTGACCATGGGGGTAATTTGAACCATGTGAGTTCATAATAAAACTGCTTGACCCTCCTAGCAGAGTGCCAGAGTTTAAACCAGGGGTCCACAACCCTCATATTTGCAGCCGGCGTTATAGCATGCAAAATATGTGATGAGCGGTGGGCTAAGTTGATATGTTAAGATAAGGGTGTTCGAACACTTGATGCAGGAAACACCTAATCTGATACCCTTTGTTAAACTGGTAAATTATACCTGACAATGCTAGTACGTATACGTAAAATACTTGTAACAATTACTGTTAAAAATCTGCTTTAAATCCTTTCTTTTTAAGCAGAAGTAGACAGTCATTGTCAGCCATATATTGACGAGGTTAAAGATAATATTCAGACAATTTGATCAAGGACAGCTGACAAAGCCATGAGATACTTATTTCCAGTATAGTCTTTATGCCAGCAGCATGTGGTGTTCTTAGGGCCAGGCAGTCACCCATCTAAGTACTAATGTTGCTTAACTTTGCTATTTGGACAAGAAGTGGTGTGTTCAATGTGGTAGTACAGTGTACTGTGCTCTTGGTGATGCACAGCTGTAATTTTTGGACTTGCAGAGTAACACTTATATGAGTAGACTTGTTTAAAGAGCAAGTATTGTACTGCATCACTTAAAGCTCATTAACAATCATAAGAAAGGTAATTGTGGTAGCAGCTTGTACTAAATTTGAACCAGATTTCACTAAAATTGTAGAGGATATTCTATTCAGTCAAATTGAATGTGTGTCATAGTAACTATTTCTTATGTATTATTCAATGTGAAACATGATTTTATGTTGTATTAGTATTTATTTCCACCCATTAGGATACCCAAACAAAATTTCCGTGTAGTACCATTACAGTACTTGTCTGAATGCAGTACCGGTACAGTACAGTATATAGTTTAGTTTTGTATTTCTTAATGCCCAATTTCAAGTTTTATTTATGTAACTTTAATACAAATTGCATAACTACACTGTGTGATGGCTGATTTCTTGTTTACAATGTGGCTGATTAGTGTATAAAGGTTGCTGACCCCTGGTTTAAACCATCTGAGCTAATGATGCTTGACAGAGATTTTGGTGGCAATGGGCCGCTACCTTATTATCAGCAAACTGATTATCCTGGTGCTTCTGCCATTCTCATCTACCTGTCTCTGTGAAGCGGGTATTTTCACGCTGTTAAGCATCAAATAGAAACACCGCTATTAACTCCGTGTGGAAGATGGCCTCCACTTTGTCCTTTCTGTTACTAAACCACTGATGCCACAATTGGTAACAAAAAACAATGTCAGCCAACCCACCGAGTTTTAATTAACTTTTTTAATGTTCTTTTTTGCATGTGCGCAAATTATACACACCTGCACAGCGTCCATAGTTTTGATTACCCGAGTTGCTGTGGAGTTGAGTTAATTTATGTGAGATTATAATACACAGCATTTATTGCAGACACAAGAGAGGTTTAAATTGTTCACATACACTATCTGTGCCTTGGAAGCTTTTATTGTGTGGCAGTTCTATTTTATAGTGTTCCTGTAGCTACTTGTACTGTATATATCACTAATGATACTAAAATGTTAAAATATTATGTCCAACTGCTCATTCCAGTGACATTTAGTTTGTTTCATTGAAGAAAGATGTAGACTGGGGCAACAAAAGTTATCATATCTTGTATGGGGGTCACAGAATGGAAGAGGTTGGGAACCACTGATCTAACTGCTTATGTATGTTTGTGTGTCTGTCTTTCTGTGCCTTTCAGTATATCTATCCCTTATCTACCAATATCTATCTGTCAATACCTATCTCAGTCAGTATTATCTATATTTGTCAATCTATTTATCAATACAAGTATTTGTCAGTCTGTCAATATGTACTGTACTGTATGTCTGATCTATTTATTATTTAGAGAATGTATATAAAGGTGATTTAAAACTTGCAGTCACTGTGTAATTGACTATTGAAATATTCTAAATACCTTTAATTATTTCAAAGGTCATTAATTAACAATAATTACTTGATTTTTTAAACTGTGAACCCAGATCCTTAATCAGCATGTAAAGTAGTACCTTTATATAGAGTTTAATACAGTAAGTGCTAAAAACGTGTTTTTTTCTGAGACACGAATTTGTGAGGTCAGACTGTAGCACTGTGCATTGTAGGATTTATTGGGGATCCCAAGAGTGAGTTTGAACTAACGGGAAAGCCTGTTAATGCGGCACCTCTCATTCCCTATAGGTGCCTGATAACTAGGATTCTACTGTACATCTACCTGACTAAACTACTGTATTAAATGTATCACTAATTTAGCTGGGAATATTAAGGCAAAAATGACAGAGTTTGTCAAGCATGCAAGGTTTACAGTCCCAAGAAAGTTCACATAAACCATACTTGCATAAAACAGACAACTACTGTACTGAATGACTATTAATTTGAGGACATATTTTTATCATAAACTGTTGTGTATATTAAATGTGTTTTGTTCGTTTGTTACAGATGAGTTAACGACTTGAGAATTTAACAACTGGAGCATGGAGACTGCTGTTACAGGTGTGTCTTTATGTCTTTCTGTCTGACTAACTGTCTATCTTTATGTATCTGTATCTCTATATCAATCTTTCAATACCTGTATGTCAGTCAGTCTGTCTGTTTGGTATCTATATCATCTGTCAGACTGTCTTTATCTATACAAGTATCTGTCTTATCTATACTATCTATGCTATTAGTAAGAAAGATATTGGCAGTGAGTGAGGAAGGTGGGTACACAAGAGGTGCAGTGAGTAAGGAAGGTGGGTACATAAGAGGTGCAGTGGAGTGGTTGGAAGACCGCAGGATGTTGCTGACTGTAAGTGGTGTGTTTGTGCCGGTAAATACAGTATGTGTCTACAGCAAGTCTGAAGAAACTCAACACTGTAGATTATCCATGGACTGTGTGGATGAGTTCTGCTGCCTGGATGATGTGATCAGTGCTGGAGGGGGTGCTCAAGGCTGCTGTGTTGTGAGTTATGGATGAGTACTGCTGCCTGGATGACATGATCAGTGCTGGAGGGGGTGCTCAAGGCTGCTGTGTTGTGAGTTATGGATGAGTTCTGCTGCCTGGGTGACATGATCAGTGCTGGACAGGGTGCTGAAGGCCGCTGTGTTGTGAGTGATGGATGAATTCTGCTGCCTGGGTGACATTGATCAGTGCTGGAGGGGGTGCTGTTCATTTTCAAGAGTCAGAAATGGCTGGAGGAAGATTAGGGAGCTGTTGTCTTTATTGTCAGCAAGAGGACATTCCCATTACATGAAAGGAAGAATGTATACAACTGGTGTGAAAAGTTTGGTGTTATATATCCATGAATCATGGTCATTTAAAGAGGATGACATAATATATGCAGTCTTCAGTGAGCTGAAATGAGAATGGTGAGGTGGATGTGTACTGTGACGCTGAAAGATGAGAATCACCGTTCAGAGCTAAGAGGGCGGCTGGGTATTGAGAGTATTGGCCAAAATTTACGTATAAGTAGACCGAGATCGGGAGTGTGGGGAGAATGGATGAGACCAGCTGGGTTAAGTGGTGCATGAGTCTAAATGTGGTGAGGAGGAGAGCCAGTGGTAGGTGGCCAAGAATGACATGGGGAGAGATTGTAAGAAATGATCTTAGAACCTGACAAGACAGACTGCAAGAGATGGTGTGGAAAATGGCTGTATGATTTGGGTGGTGATGATGATGATTTTGTTCTATCTTTCTATCTAGGTTTCAGGCTATCTATCTATCTATACTACTGTACTGTATTTCTCACCATATTAAAGGCAACCACAGATATAGATATAGCATGAAAGGTTTATAGTCTCAAGAAAGTTCACCTAAACTAAACTTTCATAAAAGGAACAAATATTTAAACGAGAAAAATTGCAATGTGTTCCATAACCTGTACAGTACAGTTGACCCTCGCCAATGTGAGGAACGGATAAAAATAATGATAATAAATAAGAGGAAGGACAAAATACTGCATGCCATTTGACAACTGTTTCACTAAAGATGTGGGAGACAGGGATGTGCTCCCCCCTCGTGGGCTGACTCCTGCCGACGTAATAAAAGTTTATTGTGTGTTTTTTTACCTACAGTTATATATGATATAGGGTGAATTATAGAGACATTTGTTAGGTTAAAAATATGTCTTATATGGTGGGAAATATGGTATATCTCTCTTCATCTTTCTGTCCATCTGTCTACAGTATATCTGTCTTATATGTACTGTAGACAGAACTACTGTACTAACCATGATAGACAGTTGACAATGCATGTGATTAATACCTGGAATACAAATATTTGCAGGAAAATGTCCAATGTATTCAGCAACTAGACCACTTTAGTGATATAGAACCATGAAAATATTGTTTATTGTTTTTATACCAAAACACTGGTGATTGTCTCTCAGATACATCAGGAGTTGTATATCTTTAGTGGTGCATTACTGTGTCCTGGGTTCATTGCCCAGCCTGGGACAGATGTTACCCTCACTAACAAACATGGCAGGTTTTCTGCAGGTACAATACTACAGTTTCCTCCCATACTGTACAATTTTAACAGACCAACTGCCCAAACGGCTCATCACTGGTAATTACGACGTCGCTACGTGAATCCTAATTTAATGTTGACTCGGCCATAGTGAGCTTTAACATTTATGCCACTGATGAATGAGTCTTGATCACACACAACTATAAGGCGGCCTTCTCTTGCCACTCCATCTCTCCTCTGGCCTTTATTGTGTAAAAGCCAAGAATTATTATTGTGTGAGGATGTAGTGGATCTCTGAGGTGACAATGATAAATATTTTGGCGTTAACTCGGTGGCGTGGTACTGTGCAGGTCTGACCCACCTGTTACAAACTACTGCAGGGAGTGAAGACCTTCCTTAAAAGGTTTAACTTGGCAGGATTCAGAAGGTCACAACACAGACGTCCTCAACGGCACTTGATGGTTTATAACGGCCATTTATTATTACTTACTTTTGACCTTGATGATGTGGTTCAGCCATTATCAGATGCAGGTCAGGAACACAAAGGACTGTACCTCTATAATGCTCACTGAGTAAATGAGGATAGTTGCTTCAAGGCTCCACTGGGCAGATTGTTACCAGGTTTTATTCACAATTATTACATGGAATTATACATTTTCCACAATATATACTGAACTGTATACCTGTGTTGTCTATATACATGGTGAACTGTATACCTGGATTGTCTATATTGTTTTAGCTGTGGTAAGATACTAAACTATCTCACTTGTTAACACTTGCCTGAACGAGTGTAGGTTAGTCGCTGGTACCTTTGATGCAGCTGAGTGAGATACTGTATATGGTCATCTCACGTCATGTCACCTTTGATACAGCTGAGTGAGATATAGGGTCATCTCACGTCATGTCACCTTTGATACAGCTGAGTGAGATATATGGTCATCTCATGTCATGTCACCTTTGATACAGCTGAGTGAGATATATGGTCATCTCACATCATGTCACCTTTGATACAGCTGAGTGAGATATAGGGTCATCTCACGTCATGTCACCTTTGATACAGTCGTAGATAGTTTAAATCGTCACAGCTGTCCTGAGTTGTACTTGTAATTATCTTGGCTTGTAAGTTAAGCAAGACACACAGGTAATGTTCTCTTCACTCGTTGTTCCTTGGTTTAATGTAAACACACATGCTGATTTAATAATTATATTGGGTAGTAATGTCTGTACAATTATTTGGTATTGACAGACTAATGAGCATTAGCTATTGGCTTGTAATTAGCTGATATAATTAGAGAGGTACAGCCCGGAGAGCTGGTCTCACTTTAGGGCAACGTGTCGGGCTGGTGAACTGGGCTGAACTCTCTTGAGTCTGGTGACTGGACAGTAACCACATTTCAACAGCCTACCACACACTGAGGGTTGAGTTTGTAGTTTAATGGGCTGTACACCCCAGGAGGTGTGACAGAAGAAATGTTTATGGGCTGTACACCCTAGGAGGTGTGACTGAAGAAATGTTTATGGGCTGTACACCCTAGGTGTGACAGAACAAATGTTTATGGGCTGTACACCCTAGAAGTGTGACAGAACAAATGTTTATGGGCTGTACACCCTAGGAGGTGTGACAGAACAAATGTTTATGGGCTGTACACCCTAGGAGGTGTGACAACAAATGTTTATGGGCTGTACACCCTAGGAGGTGTGACAGAACACATGTTTATGGGCTGTGCACCCTAGGAGGTGTGACAGAACACATGTTTATGGGCTGTGCACCCTAGGAGGTGTGACAGAACAAATCCTTCTGTAGCTGTATGCTCAATAGTCTGGGTGATAGAATGTATATAATGATTATATGTCCTTAGCTCATATTTATATAATATTAATGTGACAGGCTAATACAATACAGTATACTGGACTGTATACCTATACAGTATTGTCTATATACATGGTGAACTGTATACCTGTATTGGCTATATACATGCTGAACTGTATACCTACATTGTCTATATGCAGGTTGAACCAATTGTAAACTTATGTAATAAGTTTACATAATAATTATATATCTATCTATCTAAAGTGGTCTAGTGTATGTAAATATTTTGATCTTTTCCCTGATAATGTTGTTTCATCACAGGTGTTACTCTGTTGTAGTGTGAGCCAGTGAGGTGGAGGTCAATATTAAACTGAGGTGTTTAGCTGTGGCTCTGGAAGATTGACAATTTGTCTTATTTTAATTATAAACCAGAACACTTTTATTTATCACTGTTTATCCAGGTATAATTTGGCTAAATTTATCTTTTAAATTTACCTGGACTTAGAATGCCATCAAAATATGATTTGAAATTAAAGAAAAATATAATCATTTTCGTTTTGTGTTTTGAAGGACTTTAGAATTAATATGATTTAGTGAGGCTGTTGAATTGTTCAGGTACTTTACATATATTTACCATTTATGTTAAACTAAACCGTAAATACATTTTGTTGTTCATTAAGAAATTCAATATCATTAGTTCGGTGTCGTTTAATGTTGCCGTAAAATCTGTTGAGTGACTTAAGCGTCAATTATTCTGTTATAATCATGCCAGTTAATGTTGTTTTAGGAGATACAGTTTATAATGTAGTGATCTCCGTTAAAACAAACCATTTTTATTGTCCAAATTTGTCGCACTGGGTTATGAAGGTGTGCGTGGTGGGAAAGGCTTTGGAATAAGGAATACTGAAGGTGAAAGAACACTTGAGTTTGGGGATGGTATGTAACATGTGTTTAAGAATAGGGCAAGTAGGCTGACCATGTAGGCCTAAGGCAGATGGCACAGAAACCCAGATTGGCTACATTTTGGTCAGGAAATTAGAACAGGTTGCTTGTGTGTGTGTGTGTGTTACTTAAAGATGGAGGGAGAGGAAGAAGGTGGATGTTCCAAGAAGGAGAGTGTGGGAATTGTGAAGGAACTGAATGTAAAGGAAGCATTTTCTTGTGAGTTGAGAGGCTAGGAAACAGCCAGTGAGGGGCAGTGTACCAAGACGCTGGGCCATAATAAAAGATGTTCCGTTGAGTGTGGTTGATGGCGGGAATGATGAAGTGGAAAGAGAGATAAAAAGAGAAAAGAAGATTATGTGAGATGTGGAAGATGGTTGGCAACAGAGAGAAGTACATTACCTGGAGGCTAAACTGAGATGGTTCAGGAGAGAAAGGAGGAAACTAACTGGGTCAAGAGATACACGAATGAATGTGGAGTGGAGGGGAGTTAGAGGTAGGCAAAGAATGACATGAGGATAGGTTGTAAAGAAATGTCGGTGCTACTATAGTACCTGAGTATGTTTGTTGGTTGGAATGATGAGGAACAATCTGAACAGAAAACAAATGAATACAGTAATTGAACACAAAAAATCTAGGAATTGTCGAGTAATATCAAAATATTCGGAACTCAGTTAATTCATATTTTCAGTAATTCGAGTGACGCAGAGTCTCTTTTGTCAAATCAATGAGGGTATAGTGCCGTTTGTGGTGCACCGAATTACTGAAAATACAAATTAACCGAGTTCCGAATATTTTGACATTATTCGACACTTTCTCAATCTTTTTGTTCAATTATTCGTTCATTTTCTGTTCAGATTGTTCCTCATTATTCCAACCAACAAACATACTCAGTTACCATGCCTTGACTGCCACACAAAATAATCTTATTTATAATTACTGTGCAAACAAATATTTTTTAAGTTCACAAACAGTAATAATAAGGTAAATAATACAGTAATAAATAAATGTAAGACTTACTGTACGTTGTGAGGTGAACTGATAATATGTGGATGATATTCAGAAAGTGTAATAGTACTATTGAGGATCAGGTCTGGGGTCCACTGCTGTCATCAAGAAGATTAATCCCCAACCTACCTAACTCAGGAGACTTTTCCTTTGTTCTATGTGTTTCTCCCTTGTTTTGTTGTGTTAGTTGGCAGAAGAGGGACCTATTGTGTGTTTTATTCCAGCTGAGAAGAGATATGTAATTTGTGTATTATTGTGGGTAAAAATAAGTATATATTAAATGCGTCCTCCGAAAGCGTCAATTTGCCACCAGAGTTTAACAGTTAATTCTTGTATAATATTTCTGATAAACTTCCTACGTGTTTATGTTTGATAATTAATGTATGAATCTTTATATAATTTAGCTAAATGTCTTTCTCGTCAGAAATGGTCATTATGAATAAACTCATTTAGAAATACATCATTACTTCAGGAGGAAATCGGACAGATTTGCAACAGCCAATCAGGTGTAACTCTTGAGGAGGGGGTGGGGCATCTCTTCTCATCTGATAAAAAATGCACTATAGTCAAATCAGCTCCAACATTTCATCTTATATTTCTCCAATGAGGGTTTTTACTTCATTTACCAGTGTGGCCGTTACACTTATGGAATATCATCTACGATTTCACCTCTCATTATTTATTACTGTATTATTTACTTTATTATTGTAAGTACATTTTATAACTATTTATATTTGCACAATAATTATAAATATAATATTGTATGTGACAGCCAAGGCAACTTTTTGAACCACTCAGTTATTTCATATTCATTCCAAATTCAAATCGTTTAATTAATTTTTTGAGAAACATACGAATTAAACCGAAGTACGAATTACAGCGATCCTATTCAATGAAAGTCCAAAAATTCATTGTTTACAAATATTCATCATTTAAAATATTGTAAGTCCAAAAATTCATCTTTAAAAATATTTTAAGTCCAAAAATCTTTAAAAATATTCTAAGTCCAAAAATTCATCTTTAAAAATATTTTAAGTCCAAAAATCATCGTTAAAAATATTCTAAGTCTAAAAATTCATCGTTTAAAGTATTCTAAGTCCAAAATTTATTCTAAGTCCAAAAATTCATTGTTTAAAAATATTCTAAGTCCAAAAATGGCCAAAATTATTCCTGAGCAAATTTTGAGTAATAATAAATTTTTGTGTGGTTTTAGAGGTAAAACATTTGTGCCATTCTTACGAGCTCCAGCTTGGCATCTGTGTATTATAAGGCATAACTGACTACCTGGACGTGGGGAGAGTAACTCACTGGGCCCCTACTGAGTTACTCTTCCCACGGCCAGGTAGTCAGTTATGCTTGTATTTTTTTATATTATTGGTGAATGATAATTTGAAGGCTTTGCTCCGGAGACTCTTCCGATTATCCTTTACCAAATTTTTTCAACGTTAGTCCTGGCAATGGCAAACTCAAAAAACACTTAAGGGTAAAAATAGGGCAATTTTTTGGCCATTTTTCGCTCAAATTTTGCTATTTTTAGCCATTTTTTCCATAAAAATGCTATTTTTTCCATATTTTTAGCTGTTTTTCTGTATTTTTAGGTTATTTTAGTTATATATATATTTTTATTTATTTATTAATATTGTTTTATTTATTTATAGTTTTATTTATTTATATATATATATTTTTTATTTTATATATTTTTTTTATTTTATATATATATATATACTGTACACGGTAGATATTATTTATATATATTTATTTTTCAAGTTATATATTTTTCATTTGTATATTATATTTGTATATAATGAATTAGATATTTTTTTCAAGTATTTCATTAAATTATTTTGCTTCAAAATCTGAAGCTGAACTTAAGTCAATTTTCTGTAAAAGTTGAAAAATATTGTAAATGCTGGAAAAGGTTAATAAAGACGTAATGACATTTAGACATTTATTAATGGAAACTTAATGGCTCTATAAATTTGCAAGCCCAGGGCAGCAGGACGCACAGAGCAGAGCAGAGCCGTCCAGGCCAGCAAGCAAGCACAGAGCAGAGCCGTCCAGGGCAGCAAGCACAGAGCAGAGCCGTCCAGGGCAGCAGCAAGCACAGAGCAGAGCCGCCCAGGGCAGCAGCCAGCAAGCACAGAGCAGAGCCGTCCAGGGCAGCAGCCAGCAAGCACAGAGCAGAGCCGTCCAGGGCAGTAGCCAGCAAGCACAGAGCAGAGCCGTCCAGGGTAGCAGCCAGCAAGCAAATACAGGGAAATCCAAGGCAGTAGCCAGTAAGCACAGTCTAGGGCAGCACGGCACTCCAGTGTTCAGAACAACATTTCTGTACAAAATAAAATGTAAAATTAATATTCAAATTTTTTAACCATAAAAATGTTTTAAATATAGTAATGACAAAATGAACTAGTGTTTTAGACAAAATTCCTTAACACTTGCCAGAACCAAATTTATAAACTCAATAGAAAAATAAGAATTTTTGTTAATTTGAATTTTTCACCAAATGATTCTTGAGAACAAGTGTCTAGGGAATATTATCAGTAACTGTACAGCAACTTAACCTAACTGTACAAGTTATGGTTCATATTAACTAAACTATAAAAACCAAAAACCTTTCATTACAAAACTTACCCACAAGCAAGTTTAGTTTAACCATAATAGTTATTGATGCTTAACTACAATATTTCCTGTATCTTTGGTTCATAGTTTTGTTAATATATTTTAAATGTTTTCTCTCAATGACTTTGACCCAGAAATTATTGATTTGTGATGAATATTTTTACTTTCCACTAACTTTACGTCAATGAATTCCTCGAGTGGGTCAGTCACGGGTCTGGTACAGTATTACAAGTGAATGTTGCTAAGAGTACTTTATTATTTACTAAACATACTCATCTTGTAGGTAACTTTGTGTACTTTACTGAATTAAAGTCAAGCATAAACAGGACCAATAATTATTTCTGGTGTTATAAATTTGATGTATTAAACGATTGGTCGAGAAGTTATAAGTAGTTACGGCCAGAGTCCAGTTTTGGGGCTTTTAACTTTGGTCAATTGTTATGATATTCCTGTCATCAATAAAGGATCATAGGTACAGTCAGGATCAAAAGTGTTGAACACTTGGCAATATCTGTCATCTACATGAGTTATATGATTGGGATATACTGTACTAATAACACAACAGTACTATCATATGCCTGAACCACAAAATAGGATTAAACTCTACTTAATACCAAAGATCTTCGGTACTTACATGCCAAATACTGTCACGTGTTCAGCACTTTTGACCAAGACTGTACATCAATTCTAGCCCCATAATCCCCTTTCAAAATTCTCAACCCTTTACACATTTTCTCTTATATATAAATTTAAGTATAATTTCTCCATTACTTTCTATTTTGTCTTGAAATTTATAGCACCAAGAAATCTAGTATGATCATTGAATATCCCAGAGCAATTTGTTTGTCTTTGGTTTTAAGGATAAACTGGGAGAGAAATTCCAATCCGAGTGTTGGAAAAGTTCATTTTGACACAGGCTGATAAAGTAAACTTTACTCCCCTTAAGTGATCATTCTGAGGCTATTTTATAAGTAAAATATTGTTTTTTGTGTATTTTTACATCAACTGAACTTGTTATATTCTTTACCTGAGGTAGAGAGGAGGGGTGGAAGGCTGGGGTCTGGGCTGTACCACCTGCTTCCTTTAGTTGTGTTGTGAATCACTTGCCATCCTGATATTGGAGGAGAGAAGCCTAGTACAGCAGTACAAGATGTGTGGTACAGCAGAGTGCACACCTCTCCTTGACAAGGTCCAGAACCTACTGGAAGTAAAGTCACATGTTATTACCTATAAAAGGTTTCATACAAGATATTTTCACAATACTAATTTATCCTAATACAGTATTGTATAACATGAACCTAAACTGAAGGTTTTATCCTATGGAAATACCACATTAATCCACTTAATCTAGTACAGTAATTGAAGAACAATACATTAGTGATGGACCGTTAATAACCAGATTCAAAACTCTCCCAATAATCTGCTGCCAGATTTAGAGTTAATGCTATAATTTAGGTCAATTTTATCATTCAGGTAAAACAGTTAAGTCACTATATAGTCTCACCACCAAAGCCAGACTATAAAAGTATCGGCCAAATACAGTACTTAAATAAAACAATTTACTCTGGTGGCAGAGAAGCCGTCCACAAATACATCAACTTTAGTAATAGTCTTAAGGAATTTTTGAAGCTGCAATATTAAGAACAGCTGGGTTATAAATTATTATTGCAGCGTTTAAGTCTACCCGGCACAACACCCAGTAATTATTAACTAATCAAGTGGTCAACTATTTATAGGTAAATAATATCAAGGCTGTTGGAAGCTGCAACCATCCAGGAAGAATACCTGGTATATTAAATATATACTGTATGGGATAAGTACAGACTAATGTTATAACTCAACATTATCTAACCAACACCTTAACTTGTTACAATAAACTTGCCGTTAGCCTGTTATCAATGTTAAATAACCCGGCACTCGTCTTGTGTTGGTAAACCAGCCAAGGTAATCTGGAATGTCCTTACTATTGATGTGAAAATGAAAGCAATAAGGGTCAAGAAAACAGATAAACCAGACCAAGACCAGAAAATATTAACTAGCGGTTACTAAATTTATTTTAATTTATAATTGATGTTAAAGTCTCCTCGTGATGGCCATTTTTGTTGTATTATTCTAGAGTTTTATTCATCAGCTTAATGTTTACTTGTACAGAGACGGTGGTGGAAAAGACGCGCATTTCTAAGCAACAGCGACTTTATTCTAATATTTTAAGACTTATTTTAGAACATTTATTCATTATTTACTCATTCTTTAATAAAATAGGATTTAAATGGTTTTATTGATCATTTTGACTAAATTTGTTATAAAAACTCCTCTCCAGCCTCAATAACCTATGTCATTCATTATAAGATTTATGATACAGTGTAATACTGTAGCAAGTCATTCTTAGTTCTAATTTGGGTAATATTGGTCAATAAAATATCGATGTACTTTAACGATGCTACAGTATATAAAACAATCTTTCTCGTCTGACAGTATTTACCAGATTATTTTTCTCTTCAGATTAAACAAAAGCTACTTAGTCTGGCCTGATAATATATCCATTACCTTACAATGAAGTGCTATAGACAGACTTCCAGAGGACACTGCCATGTTATCCAATAAAACATTATGATCGGTGGCCAAGTGTGACCTTCCCATAATAAGTGGACAGACTACAGTAACTGGTTTCCGTAATTTCTGTATTTTGCCGGAAATAAAAATTTTACCTAGTAATTTCTTAACCCAAAATGCAGCAAAATGGCATCTGCTAATAATTTGTTTACCAATACAGATTATTCCACAAAATATTTATATCTGTAGCCATTATCAATTAATTGGTGCATCCCTAGTATTGTACAGTACTAGTACAATACTTTATTGGTATTTACACTTAAAAGAGAAGTTGACCAGACAAGGCAGTACATGGGTTACAATTACTGTACTTTATCGAGAGTTTAATGAAGAAACCAGAGATAACCTGTACTGTACTGTACCTGACTTGTGTTCCTGGTGCAGTGCAGCAATAATCAGTTCACCAGAAAAAACTCTTCTGGCCATTTCTTGCATCCTCCAAGTCATCATCCTGGAATGAATAATCATTTCAACTGAACTAATAAAAACTATTACTGTAGTACACCTACAGTACAGTACATGCTACATCAATGCAGGTATCCCCCAATATACATTATGTATATGCCTGATAATAGTTTTAACAAATGTCTACACTACACAGAAGAAAAACTGAATAAATCCCCTTTTGATAACGCTTTTATCTGTATACGAATGTAAAGATTTTCCATCACGGGAACATAACCCCAATAATACTAATACCAATATTTAAATTACTTCAACTTAATGAATGCATTTCCAGGAACAATATTTCTATAATATTGAGGGACACCTGTGAACTAGATTACTGAATAAATGAAGCATTACACAGAACTTAAGCACCAAATATGAAAAGTGGAGAAAACCAGTTATGCAACCTTATTTTTACCATAGCCATTTAATAAGGATATCAGATTTTTTGACAAAAGCTTGGATACAGTGTACAGTATTACAGGTATTATGTAGTCATACCCTGACTATACTGGTTAACTGCCCCCTACAATGTTTTATAGAACTGTACAGTACTAAATAATTGATGAACATTATGCAAGGTATGTATTACATTCAAGAGCTGTTGGCAAGAGTAAGGCATGGTAACATTCAACACTTTCTCCAACTATTAAGGATGCCACATTCTACACTAGGTATAAAGTTTATATAGAATACAAGTGTAGTTACCTGCATTAACAGAATTGGGAACAACGTACATATTGGACAAATTGTGAACAATAGATGCAGGCAAGTCAATAATGCCAAGGTTTCACGCCAGTTATTTGTGTAACCTAAGACGGATCTAGTTACTGTACTTGGGCGAGACAGGACCTTAGAGCCAGCAAGGAGAAGGTGCTTGCAGGGAAGATGTATCAAGTATATATGGCAGAAAATTAAACTAAAAGGCAAGACTTCATCCTTGTTGGATTTTTATAGATCCCAGAACTGCAATTTATTAAGCCAAGCCAGTTTACAGGCATTAATACACACCAGCATTATGGGTGACTGGAGGAATGAAATTAAACCTGAATGCAGACACTACCAAATACCATAGCCAGTAAAATAAAATCATTTGATTGATAAAATGTACTTTATATTCCAGATAAAACCCACTGACACCAGGAATACAAAGACCATTCAGATTGTAGAAAGACTAAGATTGCCAGTTTGATTCCAAACAAGGTCAAGTCAAAGCCTCAAAATCTTTCTACAGGTGGGCATACTTCAGATTAATATCGTCGTTACTCAGATCAGGGTAAAACAGGCATTAAATAGTGTTCGCAAGACATTCTCAGTCAAGTATGCACAATAAATTAAATGTATATAGAGCCCTAATGGGGAGCTTCCAATGTTAAGAGTGTTGTGCAATGAACTTCGAGTTCATTAAATCTTATTGTACAGAAGAATAAACAAGCAAAACGGGTAATTATATAGGACTAACCCGCGAGCGAAATTGATTTAAAATAATTATAAATATGCCGAATTTTCATCGTTATAGTGGACACTTGTAGTTTGTGGAAATGTTAAAAAATTTATATTTTTTATATAAAGGCTACTTAACATTTGTGGGTATGAACAGACCTAACCAACAATCTTCAAGAGTGAAGTGCTTTCCCGTCTGATCCCCGAGATATGCTAAGGACTGTCAGTTGGTTGAAAAATGTTCAAAGGAGAGCCACCAGACTGGTGCCTGCACTTCGGCACCACCTCTACCCTGAGAGACTGGAGCGCCTGAACTTGCCTAGCTTATACTACTGACGGACAAGGGGTGACCACATTGAGGTGTACATTTATAAGCATCTCAAAGGGCACTACTCGGTCAAGTGTCCTTAATTGGAGCTGGCAGACACTCGCCCCACAAGGGGTCACAGCTCAAGAACGAAGAGCCGCAAGTCCAGAAAACTGTGAGGGCAAACTTTTTCGGTGTGAGAGTTGTGAACTCTTGGAACAATCTACCAGAAAGTTATGTGACAGCACCGAGTTTGAGCTCTTTCAAAACAAGACTTGACCAACACTGGAGCAGGTTCAGGTACATTCAGGAGCCGGTGTATGCCCAGTACTAGCCAACAGTGAGTAACCGATTGCCGAAGCGGTTAACGAGCCGATTATTTGGTGAAGAGGATGAAAGAAAAGAAAAGAAAAGAACCAAACCTACCTAACCCAACTTCCCCAGTATATTAAACAAAGAACTTCCTAGGATTGTAAAATTCGAGGCATTTTCTGGACGCGAGATGTTACGGCTGCATCGGCGCTATGCAGCCCTGGTGCATTAGTCCTATATATTAACCGCAAAACGTCCCCCAATGACTGAAGAATGGCATATGCAAGTTCTTATTGAAACAGATGACATGTATGACTAATTAAATTACTGTATAGGCAAGCAAGTGATAGGCATAATGTAAAGGAAAGCCAATTGGTTTATGCCATTGCCCAGCTTATTGGCAGGCAAGGTGCACCTTAGTTCATAAACATGTAATAGGCATTAGTCTTGTGTTCAGAACTAGCAGAAGTCCGCCCACGTGATGCAACAGATGCAACAGCTTTAGGTTGATGCCGCAAGTCCAGAAAACAGATTTTTTTTTGGTAACGAGTTGGGAACTGTTGGAACAATCTGTTGTGGCGGCACTGAGTGAGCTCTTCCGTGTCTACAGTACTGTACTTGCAAACAGTAACAGCCAGTATTTGCCAACAGTAACTAGGGCCAGTATATGCCCAGTACCTGCCAATTAACAGCCAGCACATGCCCAATACTTTTTAGTGCAAAACATCCATTACATGCTCCGTTCTTGCCAACCGTGCATAACACAGCCAGTACATACCCAGTACTTGCCAACAGGGTGTAGCAGAGCCAATACATTACGGGTACTTGCCACCTGTGTGTAATAGCCAGTACAAGCCTAGTAATTACCCACGGTGGAACAGCCAGTACAGTACGTATATGCCCAGTACTTGCCAGTGTGTCCAGATGCGATCGACTGCCCCTAGACCCCAATTGCAAAGTTGAAGCAAGACTTCACATTTCACTACAGAACAAACTTTCTAACCTCAATAAATAAGGTGCTGTACTATCCACGCTAACGACCACTGATGCAGCAAACTGGCTTTTAACACCTCGGTAACAACCAACTGAATCAGTCGTCTGTAAAGAAAAGAAATCTTACGAGTATCATACTTCTAAATTATAAAGCTTCAGTTATATCAATCCTGTAACAGACCAAAACTAAAGTATAACAAACGTTACTAAAATATGAAGAGCGTTACTTAAATATTCAGTCTTAAAGTACGCTGACCAAAACTAAACAATATTTAATTAATTTAAATAAAAGCAGAAGCCAAAACTGTAAAGTAATCATTATAGTAAATGTGACTACGAGCGTTAACGACCATTAACAATTGTTTTTTTCCATAAATTAACTCCGCCTTGCGTATCTTCAATATTTTTTTTAAAGTCCATTTAAATTATTTCCTTTTAAAATAAATCAATTCGTACAAAATAGACAAATAACCTTACTATATCGACCTTTACGCAAGTATAAATTTAACCACTTTTAAATAAAACTTACTATTCATTTGAAGAATGGCGTGTCAGGTGAGAGAGACGACCGGCAGCGGTTCCCCGTCTATGCCTACTGCCGTCGCATCGCCTCTGAAGCTCCTTATATAGTCCGCCTTCTTCCGCCAACTTTGCCCGAATTTAGAATATTAAAAAATAAATCCAACCTTAATCGTACATACAAATTTTAGGGTAAATTAATTTATGTCGTGGTATAGAAAAGTAAACTTAAGGAAGACTTTACAGAAAAATAAATAGAAAGACGAATGCAATACAGCAGTACTCCAACTTCTTCAGCGTCGTAAACAGCTAGGTGGTGTTGACCAACCAGGGCTGCCAACATTACTTACTGATTTACTCATTTATATCATAAAAATATTCTAATATTACCAACACAGTTACTTTTATCTAAGAATTATATAATACTTTTCAAATTAATTAAACCTTTAAATCGGACAACTTACGTGGAAAAACATAGACGAATTACTTACCCGACTACAATAATGGTAATTACCGTGCCGTACTGGGTGGTTACCGCTGATTAGTAATGGATAGGTAGATAGACAGATAGATAGTTGCAAGCGTTCTAATCTCTCAGGGTAGCTGAGGTGCCGATGTGCAGGCACTAGTCTGGTGGCCCTCCTTTGGACATTTTTAATCAACTGACAGTCCTAGGCATATCTCGGGGACCAGACGAGTTGACGGTATTCCAGACGGAGTGACAGTACTCCAGGCGGGGAAGTACCTCACCTTTTCTACGGCACTATTTCATACCTAAGCCTGGGCGTCAAAGGTTAAATCCTTAATTGTCTTAATCTGTTCACTAAGTTGCCAACAGTGCGTAACAGAAAGCCAGTACATGCCCACGGTGCCAAAAGTACGTAACAGAGAGGCAATACATACCTACAGTGACTAACAGCGAGGTGACAGGCCTCCTAAGCGGCGAAGAGGATAAAGAAAAATAATGCCTATACATTATAATAAAAATAAAGTAAAAATGTTTCGCCATATCAATTGTACGTTTTCTCTTATTGTAGCATCAAAGAAAACGGGTGTAAATAAACAGCAAGACTCAAGAGAATAAGATTAAATGCCAAACTTAATAAAGTGACTGAATTATATTAAATGCGGGAATTATATGACTGAATGAGATTAAAGGCGTGATTAAATGACATTGAATGAGATTAAAGGCGTTATCGTAGTATTGAGTAATAATAACAAAAACAATAACAAAATAATAACAATATAGGTCATTTGCACGGTAAACGACATAGAAGAAAAGTGCCTGAGTATTGTTGATAAAAATTATGATACAAATAATTATAATAATAATAATAATAATATAGAATAAATATTATGTAGTTAACTAGGGATAGTTAAAGAAATTAGGTTAGGTTTTGGCCAGTGTCCCAAGGAGTGCCAGTGCCACAGGGACTACCAGTGTCTCAAGGAGTGCCAGTGTCACAAGGAGTACCAGAGTGTCCCAGGGAGTGCCAGTGTACCAGGGAGTACCAGTGTCCCAGAGAGTGCCAATGTCACAAGGAGTACCAGGGAGCGCCAGTGTCTCAGGCAGTGCCAAAATGTCACAGGGAGTGCCAGATAGATAGATGTTTTCGGGCAAAACACAATTTTCTCTCAGAATAAAGAATTCATGTGTTTAAGTGCTTAATTTAATCTAGACTTACAGAAAAATACCAAATATTCTCCTAAAAAATCATAATGGTACATAATTGGGATTTTAAGTAAAATTAAATTTTCCAAAGAGTCATTGAAGCAACTAATTAACAAATTCTAACTTTTTAACCCCAGATCCTTAATCAGGGTCTTACAGTGTCTATATTGAAATATTGAAGGTCCAAAATTTCGTCATTTTGGCATGAATGACAGGCCTTATCTTACCACCAAACTGTAGGTGATATTTTAAGGTGAAAACACCTTTATGTCTCGGAATAGAAAATTAATGTTTTTAACCACATCAGCACAGTAGCTACATCCAGATTAACAAAAACACAGAATATGAGCATAACAAAATGTGCAAGTTTTATATATATATATATATATATATATATATAGTCCTTGTACTCAAAATATTTACTTCAACACTTTATTTTTATCATTCTCTGCACCTTCCCTTCTTATATGGGAGTGTAATACTGTACTACAGTATATTCACTTGGTTATCCTCTAAGCTATTCTCTATGTCTCCATGTAATTTCGAAACCTGAAGACTGGACAATATATTTCTGTGCAAACAAGAAAACACATTATACTTGTCATCCCGGTACAGAGGAGTAGGAAAATATGAGCAAAAATAAGAGGAAAGTTGATGAGTAAACTGGTGGTGTGATGTGGAGACCTGACTGTTGCCTCCAGCTGTCTCATTTCCACCATTACTGTACTGTACTTCTACTAGTTCACTGTCCACTGGGATCTGTCTTGTAAGTGATGCTTCACAGATTTATCTTTATTTATTACATATATGAAGAGCAGTAGCCGTTTAACTGGTAAACTCAATTGACTGCAGATAGACAATTCCTCCAAGATCCAATGAACTGTAGATATACAATAATTTTGTGGGAAGAACTGTAATGCAGAAGACAAACTATCACCATTGAAATACTGTACACCAGCCCACTGCAAAAAAGGGATTTCAGGTAAAGTGAGAAAACATACAAAGAAGTCCAACAATCATAAGATACACCTTTACCCAGACACTGAAGGAAGCATGACGGAACAGTACCTGATTTATATCTCATATACTGAAAAGAGTCAAGTGTGGGGGATAAAGTAAAAAAGGAAAAATAAGTCTTGCAGATAAGGTTTACCAAAGGCCAATGTCTTTCTCTGTTCCTGGTGGAACTTACTATGAGGTGAGTGTTAGATCACTGTGTAGATCTGTGCAACATGTAATGTGCATTTCAAAATGTTTATTTAGCTTAGATTAGTTAGTTTAGTTATGTTAGATTTGGTTTTGATCAGCATTAGGCCTGCAGGGCTCTAGGACACCTGGAAGGATCTGGGGCCACCATGTAAGGCTTCAGAACTCCTGAGAAGACTGAACAATCTTCTAAATAGCTTAATAGATTCTTGTAACCTCCCAGGAATACCAGAAGTACCCTGGGGCCACTTGATGGGCCAGAGCTTTGTAACAGCCATCTAAAAGGGTGTAGAGCCTTCCTTGGTGTCCTTGAACTACCTTCTCATGCTCCACCAGAGGTCATGGGACATCCAATCATCCCCTGATTTTCAAACACTTGTTTTACAGAAATTCATTAAAACCTGACATTGTTAATTTATGACTAAAATTTGATAAACAGAAAGCAAAATTTCCGCTAATGGAAAATTTGTAAAAAAAATAAATAAATAATAAATAAATTTAAAAAAAAAAGAAAAATACTGCATACATTGCAAAATTTTACTCCTCTCCCTCCAAAAATTAATAAAAATTGCTTTAACAAACAATAAAAATGATACATGGTACTGTACTGTACATCATAGAATACAATAGCACGTATTTTACTTACAAAAATAGATCTTTCTGTCCTCAAACCATCTTCTTGGTGATGCCAAAAGTGAGCTACACAGTTCTGCCAGCCACCCAGCCTATTCAGAGAAGTCTGGCTGCTGCCGCTCTGTGCTGTATGCACCATATGAGGTTATTAAGAAATATCCGAGTGTCTGAGGTACATGAGAGAAAACGGAGGACTCAGGCGCACTGAAGCAGTGAGAAAACGGACGTCTCAAATGGGGACACATTAAAGAAATCACAGCTACAGTACGTACATGTTTTATGGGCTATTGAGTGTAATATGGATCATCTGATTTTACGTTAACTAACATGTACGACCATGGTCAGTACACCCAGCACAACAGGAACTATCACTGGGGCATTTAGGTATGATTGAGTAACTCACTAAGTCGGAAATAATGAAAAAACGTGAAGTCAGAGACACATAGTAAGTGTAAACAAGAGCAAAGATGGCAGGAATGAGTCAGAGCAGTGCACAGAACCCTCTGGTGGCAAGAATTCACACCACGCCATCAGCCACCAAATTCAAGAGAGCTCTGCCGCTCCCACCCCGATCGCCGGATCTCCGGTGTATTACCAAAACTTGCAGGGTATTTCCCTATATGTAATTGTCAGTTACGTCAATCGGCTGTCAATGGGATGTCGGTTTTCGGGGTACACCTGCACATGTACAGTAATGTAAAACTGATTATGAATAAAACTCTATACCTGTAGTACAATAGTTTGTATTGTGATAGTACGATAATGAGGGAAATAAGTACAGGTAAACCTAATAATGTCTTTTCAAGTGATGAAATTTGAAAAAGTGGAAGGTTTTCTGAAAAATGACAACATGATGTTGATAGGACATTTGTTCATCCACCCTGAATAAAATTTACTTATCTAAAGCGATGGCGATGAAGATGAGGTGGCCTCGTCTGCCAGACCCAACCAAGATAGTGTTGGTACTGATGTGGATTATTCTCCTGAACAGTTACATTGTTCAAAAGTCACCTGCCTCACCACCTGAAGGTATGTTATTTACACACACCTACATTAACTCAGTTCACCTGAGATGAATGTCAGAGAATGTAATAAAATATTAGTCGGGGAAGGTGCTGGTGCATGTGCTTAATTGAAAGACCTGTACTGGAGGACACATTATATACCAAAGAATGTACTGTACTATACTCTGCCCATGTACACTCTAAGACTAAAGTCATTGACAGCTGCACAGAAACCTACACTAATGACCTTTAGTAATGAGGAAAATCATAAGCTAAAACTATGATAAGATACAAATAAAATAAGAATTCTAATAAGCTTAAAAATCAAAATTAAGATAAGATACTACCTTAAAAATAACATATGGTTATGTACCTCTATTGGAGTTAACAAATTTCCTCATTGTCAGACATCACTAGTGTAAGCTCCATATGGCTGCCTATGACTTTAGTCCTAGAGTATTGTATACATATAGGTAGTAGGTAATTATGCTTACAATGTGTATTCTCGTTACATGCAGACATAGTACTGAAATGTGCAGACACATGTTATAACTCACAGTGATCAACAATATCTAAAACATAGTAGCAGCATTAACATTTATATTTTCTGCCTCATAATCACTATACTGTACTGTACAGTAATACCCCTAAATTTATAAGTTTTCTGGTCCATTCAGATGACACGTAACGCTGAATGATCTACAGTACTAAGAACAAGTAAAACAAGGACCAAATCAGAATAGTCAACGAAGAAAAAGTTCAAACCACCGTTTCCTCCATATTTACACGAGACCTGTGGTGACCACTTCATGCGATAGTACATAGGTAAAGGACCTTAATAATCACATATACAATTCTCTCCTGGTCTCTCTTCCACTTCCTGTCACACATAAGAATGTTCTTGTATACAAAACAGACTACTGTGCAGAATTTCAAATCATTTAGTGTACTTCAATCACAAATTGTTCAACATCTTCTTTACAGTGCCACTTGCAACACTGCAGTACCACCAGGTTCCCCTCGAGTCCTCCTCTTCAGACTTACAAGACAATTACAAGTCCATTATCGTTACCAGAAACAAAACTTGGGATAAACTGCAACATGCAATGGAGAAATCTCCTATACAATTTACATCATCACCAGCCAATATCAGTGCTCTACAAGGCCAACAGTGGGAGCGCACTTCCCAAAATACAAAGACTGGTTATCTGGAAAGTATGCCTGGGGAGCCTTTTAATAAAACTGCAGACAGAGAGCTGAGAGAAACCTTAGAGCAACTGCTGGATATCTTATCTACACCAACCTACCACTGTAAGAAACTTTTAAGAATGGGAGGATTTTCCTGTAACCATACACCAGATGGAGAAAAGTAAGAAAGCTGACTGTGTTTTACCGATCATCTAGAGAGAGCACCTTCAATGTAACACGAGATAATGTTTTCATTTTCATAATCTTATCATAAGGTCTTTTTGCATTATTCTTGAGTTCAAATTACCTTTTCTTGCATTTTATAAAATTTCGCTCATACTGTAATGGAAAAAAGTTGTAAAATGTTTTATGTTATAATTTAGCGCTGGAACACATCCTCATTGATAATTAAAATCAGTATGAACTCCCCAGACGTGTGTGTCATGATCCTAAACTATACCCACCTGGTGCATACTGCCTGGTGTATTCAGTGGGTGTGGGTCATGACCTCACCTTCGACATAGCCATGGGAAATTTCGGCTGTGAAGTATTTGCTTTTGACAGTGATGTTTACCATAGAAACTACCCAACCTTCATCAGTGACAGGTGAGGCTACTTCCAACCTATAGTATAATTAATGTAAGCAATTTATTATAGGAGATTTTTTGTGATAAAGTTGTCAGTGTTCATTGCTCATATAATTTACAAGATATGCCTTTAAGATGTTGCATTCAAATATTACAGAAAAAATGTGTTTGTTTCTTGTAATAAACAAAATATTGTATAGCATTTTCAGCCCAAATGGATCGCTTTCATGGTAAATGGAAGAATTACCATTAATAGGACTCTTACAGTAAGCGTGGAACATTTGTACATACTGTATAGTACATCACTAAAGGGAAATAGGTAGAGAAAAAGTGAAAAGTGAGTCCCATAGGCATGACTGCCCATTAGGGTTAGTGTGGATATAGCACACTGTACTAAGACTTTGGCATACGAGGAGGCAGCTTGGCCGATACTGCACTCGACTGCATTCACTTTCCCAAGTTGTAAACTTAGGTACCCATTTACAGATGGGTGAACTGGGAATCGAACCATTGGCCCCTGGAATAGTAGGCGAGAACTGTTGCTATTATAGTACAATATTAGAGATTGGTTAGCTGTAAGGCTTTGTGGCCCATTGTGACAAAATGCAGTCTGGTGTCAAGGGATATTTTAGGGTAATTGATTAAATAACTCACCAACTGCCCTGGTTACCCATTACCTCCAAAACCAATTAGGTAAAAAATTTACTTTCTAGTTTCTGTTACCAGGTAAAAAAAGGCAAAATATTACCCAGGATTGATCCCAAGAACACCCGTCTGCAAGACAAGAATGATAAATTCTCTGCAGAAATTAGAGATAACAAAGAAATGTTAAAAGAAACAAAGTACAGTATTTTTTGTATAGTCTCGGTTTACGAGGCACCTTGTCAGACCGACAATTTTTATTTACACAGTTCATTCCATCATTTACGCGGGAAGCGGCGCGGGCAGGGTACGCACAAGGTCGCCCAGTCAACAAAACATTACCGACTTCTTCACCCGCCACAGCCAGCCCAAGTCAGTGATAGTGATAGTGAGGATATGGACTTTGAGGAGTTTGACAAAGAGGCCCTGCAAGCCTCTGTGGTGAATAGTGATACAGGTGAGGGCCAATAATCTGTCCTCTGCCTCGGAACCAACCCCCCATCCCCGTGTGCCCAGCCACCTAATATTATTGATATTTCTCTTAAATATTAATTGTGTGTGCATGCCATCATAAAATTAAGATGTTATTTTTACGACAACGTATTGTGTCGGAAAAAGTGTAGTTTGTGGGTCGGCCCAGTCTCTACAGTATTTCAATAAGTCCCATATGTTGTTATTTCGTTTACGCGTTTCTCGTTTTACGCGGACCTCCACGTATTCAATTGACTGCGTAAATGAAGACTATACAGTACTGTAATAAAAAATAGGTAACACACAGTATATAGTACACAGCATTTACAGATGACAAAATACATGAACAGCAAACTTGATTTACCTGGGTGTTATGTTACAACTTAAACATGTATGATACATATTTAATGACAATGGAATAGAGAACAAACAAAAGCACTTTCAGTAAATACTGAACTCATAACCAAATACTGTACTGTACAGTATTATTACTGTGGACCTAATGCTCCAATAAAAGTGAAGTGACTACTGTATATAATCTTTTTCAGCCTGACATTCTACAAGGTGAGGGTTGGAACATACTTCTTGAGGGAGATTCAAGTTCGAACATATGATAAAGAGCTTGGGCCCTTCATGGTGGAGTACTGGCCCCTTCCTAACATAATGGATAAGCTGGGCCATGTTAACCACCTGCTTCACTATCTCAAGATAGATATTGAGGGTAGTGAATGGGCAGTGCTGGAGGAAACTGTGTTTAAGGTGGGAACTGAAAACATGATGTATCACCCACTTCCACTTTACAACTGTCAATATGCCAAACTTTATTCATGAACAGCAGTGTAACAGATGATTGTTCCCATCTTGTTCATCCTTCAGAGGAGACAATGACAAATCTAAGAATTTTCAGCCTAAAACCATTTCCCACTTACAATTGAGTCAACTTTAATTTAATATTGGCAATAGTTTAAACCAGAACTTCCTCCTTGACAGACCAACATCCTTGAGGGGACACAACAACTGGCCCTTGAGGTACACCTGGAAGATTTCCTTCAGGGAGGTGGGTCCCTCAGTACCCAGGCCTTGCTGAACAGTGTTAACAAATACCTCAGGTTGGTGATAACTGTGCAGTATTTTATCTCCATTTTTTAAATTGAAGCTAATATGTTAAAACTAAGCCATATACATTATTTTATATCAGAATGGTCCTGTTAAATTATGGTAATTACAGTACTGTATATAAACAATTTCACAAAAATATCTATTCTCTCATAATTTTGAGAAATTTCCAACTGGAACTTAACTCTCTTGGTGAGCGAGTAGCTTCCCACCAAATTCCATTTACATGTACTGTATGGTATACTGCTCAAGTAAATAATGTGCTGTTTGCCAGTCTAATAATGAAAATAACATTAGTTAATATTATTTAATAAGAAGTCTTCAACAACAGTTATCCAATTTCACACTGAAACACTGACTTCACTTTGTTACAGTAACTATCCTTAGCATCACCATATATTCTAAGAAAGTCCTTGATTAACAAGAGGAACACCAATACTATTAAAAATACATAATTTCTTTTATGTGTAAAAGCAAAATCACCAAGGAATGATTTTTAAAAACCTGACCCGATACCTGCTACAGTACACGTAATTCAGAAGAAAGAAAACTAAATTTTTTTGGAATTTCAAGAAATTACATCTCCCTCCTATAGAATGACCAAAACAGAGCCATCAAACAGACTGTATAACTGTATCATGAGACCTTTATATTCTCATATAAATATCAAACTATTTCAACAGACTGGTAGAAGCAACAAAGATGAAGAAAAAAAATATTAGCAAATCTGCCCACAAGCCTTATTACTACTACTGTACTGTATTGTATTGTTTCTAGTGCACATCACGGGGCGTCTACCGTAATTCTCACAGTTTCTGAATTAAACAAGTTACATTTATGTTTCTCAGAATGGTGCGTGGTCTTCAGGATCGTGGGTTCCACCTGGCCCACTGGGAACCAAATTACAGAGGACCAGTACTAACCACTCTTGCTGGCCTGACTTTCCATGTGTACTCTGAAACACTGTGGGTAAACCCAAGCTACCAGCCACGTTTGAATTACGCCCCAAAACATACACCGCCTGAGAAACTGTAAGGAAACTCCCCTAAATATTTGAGTCCATGATTATTGTTCCTTAAACCCTTTAATGATAGAGGGCAGCAAGTTGGACAACATTGTGGTGCACCAGTTAGCAATTTCACTGTACATGACTTTGCCTTTGCTGATGATGCATGATTTTCTATGCATACAGGGATTAGTATGAGCTTGAGATCCTGAAGGTTATTGTTAGAGTGAGATAAGATTACGGGAAGCATATTGTATAGCTACACTTTCTATAATGGTGTGACCAGTGTTATTGTTAAACCACAAAATACATTGAAGACTTTTAATGTTTGGTCTTAAAGAACCAGACATATGTGCAGAGGTACATAGCTAAATTTTATGAACTTTACCACACAAGTAAAAACTACTGAAATTGTGATCAGCTGAATTGAAATGTTTCTAGATGTTAGAGTTCAATGCTAGTGCTGTAATACAAAATGTGTTTATAAACAATATTCTATAGTAGCTACTGTACTGGGGATCATTAATTTACAAAGGAAGAGGATTTACAGTTTTAAAGATCTACTATAAAGTGTCAATGATCTGCAATATAATGAAGCAAGAGTTCCTTTGTTAAAGTGCCAGCCATAGTGTATATCATGGCTCTAATGGCTGGTGTCCACGGTAATTTAGGCATACTGTAATGTACTATAGTTTTAGGGCATTTATGATAAAGACATAATAAAAAATGAAGTTCAGTATCTTGTACAACTTTGCTCTACTATTTACAACTCATAATCAAAAACTCTTGTCCTCAATGCACCTATTATAATAATTACCTGTCATATGAGCACAAGACTAACAGTTATTAATTTCTCACCCATGATTCTGGTGACAGCATCATGAGCAAAGGATTATCTGGTTCAGTTCTAGGTACCACAGCAGCTGTCACAAAAGTTCACCAAAAGCAAACTGAAACAAAGATTTCTCCATCTGTTATATTATGTAACAATCACAAAAGTACATCAGATTAAATACTCCAAAACTTTGTAGCAATTTATTGAACACTCCAGAGCACAAACAGTAGTCAGAAAGGGTGAGTTTGCTAAATCAGACATATTATTATTTCAGAATTTATGAACACTTCAACTTACCAAAGTGAGGCAGATCAATGTTCAAACTTTCATATGTATTTGGAAGCAATAAATAAAAAAAAATAATATAAAGATAGTTTTGTATATTTTAATATGAAATACAAATCAATTTCATAAAAGCTACATAAGTTTCTGTACATAATAATTACAAAGAGTTGCCCAAGTCTAGCTCATAAACATAACAATTCCAGTTCATCCATCTAAGCTTCCTCTCATACTAGACAAGAAACACACATAGGACTTGTTTAGGCCTTTGCATAACCACTCTGGAATACTGTACTGTACAATTCAACAAAAACATCCCATGTTAATTTTCTCACTACATTATATATTTTTTCTAATAACCTTTACACCCCAATTTAACTATTCCTATACACTCACTTCTCAATTTTCTCTTAATGAACACAGTACTGATGTAAAAGAAAAAATAATGATACCAAGGCAACCTCTATGTAACATACACAATTATCCCTATTTTTTATACCTTTTTGTATACCTGTCAGATTATTTGATGATAAATGACATGCTTCAACTACTTCCTCTTGACAAAGTCCTCAACCTGCTGAAGTAACGATACATAGAGAGAGTGTTCATAGTCGGAACATACGTTGCTGAGCCTCTCAGCGAAGTCGTTTGTGATGCCGCGTTCCTCCAACATGTTCATCAAGAGGTCGTACATCATCTGCAACACGTCAAAAACTTTAATCTTTTCTGCAATGCTTCACTCTGTGGTGGCGGCCACAGTGGAGTAGCTTCCAGGACTTCCATATCACCATATACAGTACGGTGATTCTTTGGTTTTTTAAACATTAAATCACTACATTTCAATCTCAAAATGACCATTCATCTTGACCTACATTCTGCTCAGTCAATACAATCCAATTAACTTCCCCTCCTCCTCCTCCTCATCACAATTTGTTCTTTAATAACTACTGTATAGGCATGTGCATCTCACCCTTTCTTATGGCTTGCTTTTGAGTCAATCATAATTATAACAAAAACAACATGAAGACTTTTGTTATCTATTATGGTCTGGTTATAAAGTATATATTATACCATTAATAACAATACAAAAAGTTTCAAGAACATTTGAAAGGACTGTTCATCCACTTACCCCATCAAGAATATCACCAGAAACACAGTAGTTGTCTTCACTCCATTCACCTTCATACATTATTAACTCATTGATTCCAAATGTATCTGCAAGACATTAAAATCCACTGTTTGAAAAGTGCCAACAAACAGCAAAGACGGAAAGAAAGGTAACCTTATTCATACTTAAAAATAAAACATTAGGACACTTAAACTTTACCATACAAGACTTAAAAGTTATCAATTTATATGGTTGGTTTCTCATTTACATTTACGGAACTGTTTTCCATGGCATATAAATTTAATAAACTGTATCTCATTCTTAAAATTCAGAGGCTAAAATATTTTTTAAAAAGTATCAGAGATCAGAAAGAGGGTCAGGATAAGGACTACCTTGTGCTGTTCACTCAGTTACTTAAGAAAATTTACATCCAATAAAGCCAATTACATTTCAAAACTGAATACAAGAGTTTGTTTAGAAAGAATAAATATCTATGGTTTACCTTCTACTTGATCCTGTCCTTCTACAACATCACCTGGTGAAGTGTATGAACAGGTAAAGGACATAGTTTTAGAGCCAATCTGTAGGTCAACTTCAAAGCTCGGCCGACTCTTCAGGGCCACTTCACTAGATTGGTCTAAATTCACTTCTGCTGTTTCATCACTGTCTACCGTGTGATTTACATTCAAAGTGACGGTAATTCTGAAAGAGATTTATTCTTTACAGTAAAGGACATTCATACATTATAATGTGACATACATATAGTATATAATTATATACTATATGTATGTCACATTCTTCCAAGTACATTAGATCATCTAAGCAGCTAAGTTAAAAAATCTTATGTAATGTTAACAGTGTTGCTTTACTTTAAACATACGTCTGACTCCTGTAAGTAAACACTACAGACAATATGTGAGTTTTATTTCTCAAGGATGTTGGCCAATGGAAAGTTTGATACTCAGTACGGTATATATCAATTGGCAGGTGTAAATTCAAACAGCAATAAACTTTCAACTGACATGCCTGTACTGCACTTACTTTTCATCATGAAAATTCTTAGTGAGAATGACTTCTGCATCTTTCACCTTGACTGAGAAATCATCAATATGTGAAGGAACACTCCCCTTCAAGCTTTTCTTTTCTGCAACAATCTCCTCTCGCAAGAATTCCACAAGTTCACGGTCTCCTGTCCAGGAAAAACGAAATACGGTGTATAATAAACTAGCAGGTGTGAAGTCATGTATAACCAGACACCTTATTATGTAAACCAAACCTTATTTCATAACCAACATAAATTTTGATTGATGATAAGTAATGTGATGTGATATTTCATCCTGGAGTTCACACGTGTCAATACTGTACACAAACTGGTAAACATAGTGGTAAGGGTTCAGTCATGGTTCACATTAATGTTGGGAAAGATTTATTGCTCCACTATCTGTAAAGTAGCAATGAAGGTTATCATTGATAACTTATCAATAACTTTTATGTTAATATTGAAGCTAACTTTTGGGGCTAAATTATAAAATTTTCATGCCACTACCTATCCGTCTTCAGTTGCATACTCACAACAATAAACCACACACTATGACACTAATGTGGAAGATGGATGCAAAGTGCAGTGCAGTGAAATAGGGAAATGTAATGCAGGTTTTAAAATGATTCTTATTACTGTACATAGTATGCTGCTGTCACACAAACATTGCACTACAAGTAAATATTTCACACTATGCGGTTAAGAATAACTTTATTGAAATTTACAGATTTCAGGCTAATAGATTTGTCAGTTTCAATTTATAAACTGGGAGATGTAAGCTTTTAAAATGGTATTAAGTCAACAAAATATAGACATGCACAAAAATGTTACGAAACTATCACCCAATATTCACGCTCTTGCTATTTAGAGAGAGAGAGAGAGCAGACGTATTTACTCTTAATTTATTAACTGTCTCATAAATTGGGTACGAGTTGACATGTTCTGACGGGTACGAAAATGTCCAGCACTGTAAGTGCATTCACTAGCGATGTGTGCTGGATAATGTTCAACACCCCCCAAAAATAAAACAAACCTACAATGGTCTGATTTTAGCAAGACTGAACCACCCAGCAGTTACTCTTGAGAAGTAAGTTTAAGTCTATAGATATATTTTGTTAGGTTGCTGGTTAACCTACAACCCATGTTCTTAACTATTACCAGTACCACAAAATTCTCCTTTTCGACATCCTCCCTATGTTATATGTGTCAAATCTTGAGAGCTACAAAATATTTCTTCTATAAGGTGAGGTCAAATTGTGAAGGGTAGTTTTTTGCACTAATCATCTTGAAACTATATATACTTTGACAAACTAAATCAAACTGCATACCGAAAATATCATTCTATGATTATTAGGTTCATGTCACCTTCACTACAGGGGTAAACTGTTAAATAGTTTAATGTTGTAGACTGACAGCTGCCATTTGTACCGAGGCAAGTATCCACTACCTTAACACACGGGTTTTGTTTTATCAGGTGGCTCCGTAGATGTAACATTGCAGCTATCTAGCACACAGGCTCCATGACAGTGATATTGCATTTTCAGAGAATAGAAGCCATTTCATTCAACATTTTGCATTATAATGACAAGTCTTTCATTGGGTGAAATGCTCTTATCAAACCACAGAGCCACTCTATTTATTATAAATAATGTTGTGCTGATCATAGATAACTGACACTCATTATACACACTTATTATCAAATACCCGGTACAGTACTGTAAGTGTGACCATCGGCAGCTTCACAACAACGACAATTCCAGTGTGGCAGCAGCTGGACAATAATTATATTTATTTAGTAAAAACTGTAATACAGGATAACAATTAAATGAACATGTTTATAAACAATGCAATTATACAGTTCAGCATGAAAAAAGACAAGACAATGGAGGTAAACATGGTGTGTGTAGGCCATGGGAGCGGTCCGACTAATTACCCAAATGTACCCAAATATAGCCGCAATGAAGTCAAATAATGGTCCTACATGAATAAATCGGACTGCTAATCACTTCTCGACTCGTATTTGGTGTCAGAAAGTCACAAAAAATTGGTAAACTTAATTTAATCTGAGTTGTGTTGGGTTAGGTTAGGTTAGGTTAGGTTAGGTTAGGTTAGGTTAGGTTAGATTAGATTAGATTAGGTACATGCACTTGATCTATTAACTCAGATTAAATTAAGTTTACCAATTTTTTGTGACTTCGTGACACCAAATACTAGTCGAGGTTAGGTTAGGTACATGCACTCGATCTATTAACTCAGATTAAATTAAGTTTACCAATTTTTTGACTTTCTGACACCAAATACTAGTCAAGGAGTGATTGGCAGTCCGATTTATTCATCTAGGACCATTATTTGACTTCATTGCGACTACATTTGGGTAATTAGTCGGACCCCATGGGAGTATACCGGTACTGGGCCCCAAAACAGTGCAGGTACACAACAGTGGTAAACAGTAAGGCAATTTGACTAAGGTCACTCGACAAAGCTGTTAGGTACTATTACCAGGAGGGTCCTTAAGTACCTAAATTAAAAGTAATCACGAAGAAAATCACAAAAACACCAACACGTGCAAATTACAATTCCTGGGATGAAAACTGGCTATACCTGAAGTACTTTATGTAAGTAATTACTTTTATACAAAATCGTTAAAATAACTCGTTTAAATGTACAAAAAATGGCAGGTAAAATATTAGCCATTCAAGTAATATGGTGACGCCTTCTTACCAACCATATATTATGTCACTTGTAGCATTTAGGAGTTAATGCCTACCTCTGGTGTGCATGCCATGGATGCCACAGCCGCAGGAACACAGCTTTGAGTTGAGGAAGATGTTGTCCTGAACAATGCGGTTGGAGGACAACACGACGAGGCTGCGGGTGATGGCTCGTGAGGGGGCCACTGTGTTCCTCACCTGCACCCCCGGTAGAATACGAGGCTGTAGGCGACACAGGGCACGAGTCAACATACTCATGATGCTGGCAATAGGAAGACGAGACACACAGGCTAGTTATGTCACCCAGGACGTGAACTAAGACTCTCCCACACCTGAGCAGATGATGCCGGCGACACAGAGACCGCCAGTACAACACAGCCTCTACCACTATTTTACTATTTCATCATAACCTCCATACGTATATCAAGCAATATTCATAATTAATACAAAAATATGTTTAAATTTATTAACGTAAATATTAAAAAAATATGTCACCGAAGAGACTCAGAGTTCAACTATTAAAGGCTGGAAGGATAAAGAGTTATACCATCAGGGAACTGTACAAGCTTATAATTACGGAAAACCTATCTGGATTGACTGTAATTCATATAAAGCATTTAAATCATGCAATGTTACATTATAATACTTGTTTTTAATGTTATATCAGAATGTACTAAAGAAAACTTGCCTTAATGGGTGGATGGAATACTTTACTACATGATGACATTGTAGTGGATACTACACTACGCTACAACATGTCTCCCTACAATTTTTTTTTTCGCGACAACAATAAATATACAGTACTGATCCAAAGCATAATATCAATCACTTCCATTTAACTCCGCCCCTCCCCCCAGTACTTGCTAAAAAAGGAATATTATGAGGAACTAGTAGTCTTACGGGAATTATTCAATTCCTATTAGTTAGATTGGTGTCTGTTTGTATGTTTTGAGCCTCAAAGTTGGCTGTGTTGATTGAAATTGATATTGAAACAGTTTATTCATCCAAGAAAAAATACAGACACAGCGTGGACAATGATAACAATATTGACACGGCTGAGCCAATTGACTGCCTGAGCTAGTCGCACCTGATATCAACTGAACATTACCACAAGGAATCCTTATACTGTATAACATTTAATGTCATCTGAATTTGTACACGTAACATGGTGTAGTAAATACACATGAGAACGTTATCGCTTAAATAATAAAACTAAGAAGAAAATGTTACTCCAAAAGTAACTTATTATACAGTTAGAAATGGTTAAACTGACTGCAATTATTTTACTTTGCATGGGGGATTTCAAGTTACCCAGGGAAAATAATCGTGATAATCGGAGTATAATAATTCACTCAGCCTCTTTGCCTACCTTCAGTGTCAACAAAGAACTGTATTGGCTGGTTTTGGTGAGTAAATAATTCCCTTGTAAAGCTAGTTTGATAAGTTATGTATACACGAAGAAGCTGGCGACACTGATTTGTTATCATCAATGTATATAGTTTTCTTTGAGTGTTCTTAATTCATTGGCAAATTATTTTGCTGTGTTAAAGTACGCTATCGTTCATCTCCGTGATTTACATGCATTTTATACCATGGTAGTATTATGATTTGACTAAGCAGAAATCCAAACGCGCATTGATTGAACATTTTTTATGACATCGTCCAATCACCGACTGGTTAAGTTATTGTCGTGCGAAATAGGACTACACGTATAATATCTGGATAAAACTAACGATTTAAGTCTATTACACCAATCAGATCATTATCGGGAAGAAGTGATAATGTATACTGTACCTCTTAATACTAAACGGGACGTGTTCAGCTCAATACGTAAATATATAATAAATTACAGTAAATAAATAACTCAGATTAGAACGTGAATGATACTGTGAGGTGCTAACGTGAGAAAAAATCAGTGTGATAATCAGATTGTTTGTAAACTTGTGTGGCGAAAAGTTGACAGAAAGATGGAGGTGAAGCAGGAAGGCGGCGGTAGTGGAGGTTCCCGGGAGTTATGTGGCGCTGTTCTCGCAGATGCTTGGTATGCGTGTGCACCTCGAGTCTTGAACCCTACTTGAGGGCGCCTTGAGGCCTGCGTGTGAAATTCGCCTCGCGGGGAAGGGGAGGGAACCTTTCTTTACGCGTCCATCCACCCTCTAGTGAGTGATGATACTGAGGCATGAAACCTCCCGTGCATGGCCAGGGGCGGCTCCTTCACTTCACGGGAAGGCTGGATCTATAATGAATATTTGTTCTATATTGTTCCGACGGCAATTTAACAAACCAACTTTAATGAACGTTCATAATTTCAGAATATTAGTATTAGATAATCGATGATATCAACTAGATTCTGTATAGCATTCGTGTCAACTTATTATGCCCTTGTGAATGATGACTGATTTTGCCAAATATAAAGAATGTTGATTTTCTCCAGGAACCACAGTTATAATAGCCCTTCTTTAATACCTTCTGGCTTTGTCTCCAAACACACATTTATCTCTTAGTCCTGTGAAAATAACCTATACATATAAAATCAATCTAGGGACATGGAGGCATTCTTCACTAAAAATAAACCTAGGGGCGAAGGATACTGGGCAGCTCTCAGGTAGGTATCAATTAACCTAAATATCAACCGAGATTAATGAGGTCCCTACCTGAGTCTTCCTCTGGATTGGGGAGATGAGGTGACAGAAGACTCCTAACCTCAACTTACTTCCCGACTTTTACACTCTGAAAACCGTATCCTTTTTTTTCCCCAGACGAGAAAAAAATGTGAGAATTGCAATTCCAAAAACAGCAACACAGAAGAAAGTACAACACGTGGAAAAAAATCTGATCTGAGGAGGGAAGATACTGAAACTACATTAACACAATTTTATTCAGTGATCAATATAATTTTACTTTCTCTCTAACACCAACAATGACACCTTAGTAATCAATCTAATTGTACAGTGATTGATGAGCTAATTAATGATGCACCTTTTAACTCACCTGCTGTCGTTACTAGACACGCAGAAAAGAACATCCTCTGGGTAATTTTTGGTGGGTATTTTCTTTCCTGCCAAATTTATTAATAATTGTCTTCAACTACGCTACTGTATCTCTTAAATACTACTTTATCTTTGTTATGTTTTTGCATAGGAAGATTTTATGGTATTTTATTTTATATGTGAAATTATTGGGGTTTTTTTATTGTGCTTTTGAGATGAAAACTACTACTGCGTGTTTAATGTTCTTCAAACTACTGGACACATGAGGCAATACTCTGTCTTTGGGTGTGCTCTTCTTCCTGCTTATATAACTAAACTTACCATTCATTATATCTCTCAAACTACCACGAGTTACTTTAATTACGTTACTCTATCATTTTTTGACAGGATATTTGGGTTACATGTAATATGACCATAGACTGAATGCATTTTTCTTTAGTTACAATCGTTTCCGGATATATGAGTAAGTGTTATATCGTTGGTGTTACTTAAATTAACTCTTAATATACTTCCTATAATTGAGAAGCAGTAGTACATGTTCATTTATGGGTGGCTATCGGATGCGGGTGTCGGGGAGGAGGAAGAGGATGACTCGGAGGAGGCGCTGCTGGTGGTGGTAGTTGGTGGAGCCTTCACTACTTCATGGTCCTTGGGCATCAGGTAGCTGTTAAATGGAACGGAAAATAATGTCAGTGTGATTGCAAGTACAGCACTACGTTTTGAATGCTTAAGTTATGGCTCACGTAAAAACAAATCAAACGTAATTTTCACTCTTGCTTATTTCACTTCTAATCTAATTAATTTTTGTTAAGTAAAACACAAAATATTTCCATAATATTGATGTTGTGGAGAGTTAGTTAACCTGTAAGGGGAGAATGGGACGCCGACGATGCTGAGCAAATGACCATGGTAGTGGAACTGCCACACTCCCCGCCACCCAGCCTCGGGGTACAAACTCCACGTCCGTAAACACTGTCGAAACAAACGTAACGATAACAAAAGAAATCACACGATAACAAAATCAATGACGTATCAATAACAAGACCATTTTTTAACTAACGTAATCAATATTTCCCGCCACAGAACCTCATATTAAGTTAGGGAATTAATTCACGTTTTGATGAGTGTGGTGGGGTACAGGGTCAAAAGAAGTGAGGCGTATATTTGGGGTATAATTTTTAAAAGTTCTTTTATTATTTACATAGGAGGAAAATGCATCAATGTCAGGGTGTGTTAAATATTGCAACGACATCAGTATGCAACACAATGAGAGTAGTTATAATGAGTACATCACGACTTACCTTCATGACGTATGAGAAGGTAGTATCATCACTGTGGCTACCATTGTAGGAAATATACATCACTAGTGGATCCTGTTGTCGAAGAAAAAAGAGTAGACATACTTAATGTTGCTTTTTAGATTAAGACAACGGTAATAATAACATAAATTTCTTACTGTTGTGATGAGACATTTACGTTTGGTATTACTATAGGGTATAAGTTTAATGTTATTGTTTTATTAATATTTATAGTTTTCTCTTTTCTAGTGCTAGTTCCCGTCTATAGTCACAAGGAGGGAGACTAACCTCCTTGTAGAGAAGATCGTGTTGGCAGAAATCGAATCTGATGACCGCTGCACTTTTGAGTGTATCTATTAATCTCGCCTCGTACTGGGAAGCCTCAAGCCTGTTAGAAATTTCGGTATTACAAAAAATATCCTAATTGACAGACCTAATTAGCATCAAAATATTACCTGTGAAATTTGCAGGTTAAAAGGTATAAAGTGAACGGTAGGTGAAGTCTCAGGAGTTAATGAGGAACACCTATTCATCTTTCATCATAAAATAACCCTAAAGGAATGGTTGACTAATCTTGTGGGTGATATTCAGGTCATGGCGATAAAAAAAGGGTGTGTGTCACAGTAACTCTTGAATGGGAGTGAAAAGAACAAAATATAACTCCTCCAGGACACCCACTTCAGTACTTCTGCGTCAGACAGGTCATAGTCGGTGGTGAGAGCGAGGATGTGGTCCCTGAAGAAGTTGTACTGGATGCCACCCGCAATTGTCTCTCCCCGGTACCCCGTGTGTCGAGCTCGTGGCACCTCGGGGTAGAGCAACGCCCTTCCTCTCACAGCCTTCAGAGCCTGGCTAAGGGGCTGGTACCATTCTTTGGTCTGAGTGAGAGAAGAATCCAAGGTCTCTAAATCCACCCAAACGATAGATTTCAAGTGGACAGATTAAAGTGTGAGGTAGGTTAGATTAAAGGTGTGAAGTAGACGGGATCACAGGTATACTCACAGTATTAACTTTGGGCCAATTGGGAGCGATGTGGTCATATACGACGCGGGAGGGGAGGAGGAGAGCCATGGGGTTAAGTTCATCAGTGCGGTAAACAGTAGTGAGGGAGATGGCTACGTCCGTGAACCCGTAATAGTTGTAGGAGGAGATACCCAACACCGTGTGGTCCCTCTCTAGCACCGGGGACACCGAGTACAGGAACCTACACATGGTGACACAACAGGTTACTCGTGATGCACATGAACGTATGACACTGAGTCAACATATCCTGGGATTAATCAGAGTAACTCGTACTAATAGGGATGGAAATATGAGGCAGTGTTAGATTTTCATGACAAGGAACCATAGTAAATACACAAGCTACTTAAAACAGACACAGATACACACACACACTATAATGTATTCATCTTACTTGAAAATGTCGACAGAGACTTGAATGTCGTCTTCGAGTATCAGGATGTGGCCGCAGGTGAAGGGGGTTAAGACGTCCTCGGGCAAGGCACCTTCAGGCACCGTCTCGCTGGGGAATTTGGCACCCATCACGTCCCTGGTGACAGAACATTGGGGTGAGAAGTGAGATTTTGGGTGGCTGTTTAGTCTTCTGTCCTCACATAGGCCTGAGGCCTCACCCTTAAGTTTTATTTGTTTTTGAATAAAATTTTGGACTGCCAATATCCCAGACCGAGACTCCCATTTTATAGTGACACACCTCTACCACCTCAAGAGTGTCTGAACCCTGTATCTCACCTGACGACTCTCTCTCAACCTTGTGTCTCAACTGAAGACTCTTACTTAACCTTGTATCTCACCTGAAGACTCTCTGAACCTTGTGCCTGATGTGTTCCTTGGTTGAGTTGCCTCGTGTCGGATCAACAACGAGGTGGACGCCAAACAGTGTGGCCACGGCAGTGATCTCACGGTGGTGGGAGCTGGCGTACACTGCCACACGGTCACGGTTTAGACCAGGTGCCTCCCACAGCGCCTTCATTGTCCTGTGGCAGATTAAGGAACTATAAACTACCGCCTATTGAATTACTCATTATAATCATCAATATTGTATTAATAATGAGACTCTTTATACAATACAACTTCAATATTATTTAAATTATACACTAAAAACTATATAAAACTAATATTAACATTTATCCTTAAACTCTGAACTGAAGAATATATGGCGGGAAAACAACAGAAGGTTAGATGAGATATTAGCATTTAGTCCACAGTGTTGCCAGAAAGACGGTGTGTGGGGGGGGGGGGTGAACCAGACAGTGCCACTCACTTGTACAGGTAATGAGGTCTGTCCGTAGCTAAGATCACCACACCTATGTCCTTATACATCTTCTTCAGTGACAGCTGTTTGTGAAGCTGGAAGGAGGAGGTGAAGTGAGAGTGAGTAACAGGTCTATACTGGAGGGTGACATAACAGCAGTATACTGGAGGGTGACATAACAGCAGTATACTGGAGGGTGACATAACAGCAGTATACTGGAGGGTGACATAACAGCAGTATACTGGAGGTGACATAACAGCAGTATACTAGAGGTGACATAACAGCAGTATACTGGAGGTGACATAACAGCTGTATACTGGAGGTGACATAACAGCAGTATACTGAGGTGACATAACAGCAGTATACTGGAGGGTGACATAACAGCAGTATACTGAGGGTGACATAACAGCAGTATACTGGAGGTGACATAACAGCAATACTAACAGCAGTATACTGAGGTGACAAACAGCGTATACTGAGGACATAACAGCAGTATACTGAGGGTGACATAACAGCGTATACTGAGGGTGACATAACACAGAACTGAGGTGACATAACAGCAGTATACTGGAGGTGACATAACAGCAGTATACTGGAGGGTGACATAACAGCAGTATACTGGAGGGTGACATAACAGCTGTATACTGGAGGGTGACATAACAGCAGTATACTGAGGTGACAAACAGCGTATACTGAGGTGACACAGCTGTATACTGGAGGGTGACATAACAGCAGTATACTGGAGGGTGACATAACAGCTGTATACTGGAGGGTGACATAACAGCTGTATACTGGAGGGTGACATAACAGCTGTATACTGGAGGGTGACATAACAGCAGTATACTGGAGGGTGACATAACAGCAGTATACTGGAGGGTGACATAACAGCAGTATACTGGAGGGTGACATAACAGCTATACTGGAGGGTGACATAACAGCTGTATACTGGAGGGTGACATAACAGCAGTATGCTGGAGGGTGACATAATTAACTTGACAATATAACTCTGTAATAACAACAACTTAGTTCCCTGTTACATTGTTAGTGTAAGCATTGGTTCTATGATTAGTTATATTGACAGTGACGTATTTAGTATGGTAAAAAATAAACTTCCAAAATGAATAATGGAAAACGGTATTGACGTTATTGTGTATATACATATACAATTTTTTGCGATAACTTTTCAAAATAAGAGAAATCTGAGGTCGATGAAGCACCTCAGTCATTCTCTAACATATGAGGAATGAGGTTATGAGGTTAGAATTGAAGTAGGAACACTTTTCAGCCCTTAACAGATTATAATGGTGCTGTGAGAGAAGGCAGGTGAGTGTATGTGGAGGCAGGTGAAGGTAAGTGCAATTCTGTTGATGGTGTTGTTGGTGGTGGTAGTAGTAGTGGTGGTGGCAGTAGTGGTGGAAATGGTAGTGGTGCTGGTGGTAGTGTACGTGGAGATAGGTGGAACTCTGGTAATGGTGGAAGGAGTCGACTAGTTACCTTGTCATCGGTGTGGAAGAAGACATCGTACCAGGAGGTGACCTCACACTCACACACGGCCCCACCAGCCATCATACCTCCGGCAAGACACACGACGGGCATCATTCCTCTCGTTCTGGGGCCACTGGCACTCATCTGGAGGCACAACAAACACGGTCATCAACACTCCTCTACCTAACAGGGTCTATGCACCTAACAATAAATGTCCGTTTACAATAGGTAGCAATTATATAGGGTAGAAATATGGCGACTTCACTGAAAAAAAATGGAATAACTCTTTTCTGTGAGACTTATTGAATACTACTTTCTTAATCTCACTATATATCTGTCTGTCTCTCGATCATACTCCAATCGTATTACCCATGTCTTCCTTCCCTTCCTCCTTTCCTCTACTCATCCTCCTCCTCTCTGTCCTCCTCCTTCCCCTCTCCCCGTCATTTCTTCTCCCCTATCCTCCTCCACCTTCTCCCCTCTTACCATTCTCTTCCTCAAGGTTAAAGTCAGTCCTGAGGAACACTGGGCGCCCCCACTCATAGCCTGTGTCAGCAGTGGCCACGTTGGAGTACGTCTCAGCCATCTTCAGTCCGCCCTTCCTGGTGACGAGAGCCCACATGTCCCAGCCCAGCTTGTCCAAACCACCTCGACCCCAACTCCTTCAGTTTGTTCCTCCCTCGCCATGATAAGTTTTACTGGCCTCGTCCTGTGGGAAGAATAACAGGGGAGAGTTTAGAGCTAATGTATGTGCAGATTATTTTTTACCCTTTGAGTCCTGGAGGTTAAACCATCGTCCTCAAAGGGTTGAAGGTATAGTTTCTACGACATTTTAATTAAGCAGTTACTAAAACTTCACACTAATGAGCTATACTGTTGGAAATATTTGTTGTTGTTTTACCAAGACAGCAAACACGAGGATTCTGCCATCGCGGACGTCGTCAATAAACTCGACCATCTCCTCCTCGACGCCGACGCTGAAGGTATCGAACACCTGACGGGCCATCACCTTCCCCGTGTGTTGGTTGAGCACCACCAGGTGTAGGCCGCGATCACCGAGGTTCCTGTAGATCTGTAAACACACAACGAGTCAGTGGAGGTGGTGGTGGGGTGTTGGTGAAGTGTTAGGGGTGTTGGTGAGGTGATGGGGTGTTGGGAATGGGAGGTGGTGGGGGGTTTGGTGAGGTGGTAGGGTGGTGGTGAGATGGTGGGTACGCTGGGGAGGCGTTGGTGGGGTGTTGGAGGTGCTGTCTGTGGCTGCATTGTCTCCCGGAATATTTACAACACAAACATCCTTCAATTTAAAACATTAATGATAGTATAGAAGCCCTGATACTTGAGGGTGATTCTCGGGTATTAAGGAGAGGAAAACACCTCACCCCTCACCTCCTTCTTGTTGAGGGACATGAAGACCTTGTCGGAGCTGGACATGAGTGTTAGCGTCACCGTCTGGTTGGTGATGGCGTGATCTTTGAATCGAACCTGGAAATAAGAAAAAAACTTATCCTTCAGTTGTCGTGTGAGTGAGTGAGTGAGTGAGTGACGTGTCCTCTCATTAGGGAAAAGGTTCAATATGAAGACAAGAGAAGTCAAGGTTAAGTACAAGTGACCTCTGACCCTGACTGACCTTGTGGCTGTCGGTGATATTAGCAGTTGCCATCGACCAGGAGGACGATGATGATGATGAGGAGGAGGACTTCTTGACCTTGCTGTCTCCCACCATCACCGCTACTATCCACTACTACTACCGCCTCTCTGTTTATTAGCCCCACTGATTGCCTGCTGACTACTACTACTACTACTACTGCCACTGCTATTAGGAACGCCAGGGGGAAGAGGGAGGGGTGCAGCAGGGTGACGGTCGTGAGTGACAGGGGAAGGTTTGGGCATCACTGGTAGGGAGTTCTCAGGGTCCTTGAGCTCCTTCCTGAGGGTGTTGTGGCCGTGACCAATCTTCTCCTCGTAGATGGGGTCAATGGCCTCGCCTGTAACATCAACAAAAAGGAGATCAGTGCATCTAAATCATTACTATTGACCTCTTGTATACGGGTTACCCTCTGGACTAAATAAAATCATCTGGTGTTAAATAAATAAAAAATTCAAAATGGCGTCCCAAAAGAGACATTCCTATTTCACTGCTGATTTACGAACGTTCTATTTGTCTCGAGTCAGAATTAAAAAAGATACTTAATGTTACTTTTGTCCTACTTAACTGATGAATGTATGAATGTAAGTAATTTGCCTCATTTAAGTAACCAGATGAACAATTATGGACCTTTCTGCTGACAAATGCATCAGTACACTTCACATAAAGACTCATTAATATCCTCACTACATCAACATAAGACTCACTATACCACTATAAGACTCACTAAACCACTATAAGACTCACTATACCACTATAAGTCTCACTAAACCACTATAAGACTCACTATACTACTATAAGACTCACTATACCACTAAGACTCACTATACCACTATAAGACTCACTACATCAACAATAAGACTCACTATACCATCATAAGACTCACTGCATGGTTATAAGACTCCCCATTGCACTACAAGTCTTTTTTACCTGGGACGATGAGGCTGGCGAGGTTGGTGGGCTGCTGTGCGGGGTGAGTAGTGAGGAGCTGCATCACCAACACCACGCCCAAGGCAGGTAACACTACGCTGCAGGAGGGGGGGTACACACACAAGGTATTACTCGTCAGGAGGTGGTGGTCGGGTAGTGGTGGGGAGGTAATTGTGAGGTGGGGAGGTGGTGGTCGGGTAATAGTGGGGGAGGTGGTGGTCGGGTAGTGGTGGGGGAGGTGGTGGTCGGAGTAGTGGTGGGGAGGTGGTGGTCGGGTAGTGGTGGGGAGGTGTGGGGGTGTTTGGGGAGTGGTCAAGGTGTAGGAGAAATGTTGGGGAAGGTTTAGGAAGGGTAATGGGGGGTGCTAGGGAGAAACTAGGGAGTGGGAGTGATACTGGGGGAAGTTGCAGGGAATATTCTACAGAGATAACTAAAACATTTCCCCTTCCTGACCATAAATATCCCCAAACACACAAAATAAAACTATGACGTATATACATTAATTACGTAACTGTTTAAAATCAAGATAAAGTAATAGGAGAATATATTTACGCCTAGAGAGGAAGGTGGGCGGTTACTGTTATATTACAATGGTATCAGAGAGAGAGACTAACTCACCTTAATTAGTGAACTAGCTTTACCCAGTACACGTCGACGCAGGAAACTCAATATAGTCATCCTGGAAAACAAACAAACAAACAACTACACATAAATACTCCCTTGTTTTCTCCTTACATAATAAAACACATACATCAAGGAACACGTAGCAGGAACATCACACATCCAAGGAACACGTGCTAGGAACATCACACACCCACGGAACACATGCTAGGAACATCACACATCCAAGGAACACGTAGCAGGAACATCACACATCCAAGGAACACATGCAGGAACATCACACACCCACGGAACACGTAGCAGGAACATCACATCCAAGGAACACATGTAGGAACATCACACATCCACGGAACACATGGCAGGAACATCACACACCCAAGGAACACGTAGCAGGAACATCACACACCCACGGAACACGTGTAGGAACATCACACACCCACGGAACAATACGCCAACAATATCTAATAACCCGGAAACAAAGGTATTTATTGTCTATACCTTTTAAACTAATGAAAATATAACAAGTTGAAAGTAAAGCTGTGATGACTGGACTGGAAGAGGTAGACGAAGGAGGGTCACGACTCACTACTGAAGGAGGGACACTACTGAAGGAGGAGGTAGGTGGAGGAGGGACACTACTGAAGGAGGAGGTAGGTGGAGGAGGGACACTACTGAAGGAGGAGGTAGATGGAGGAGGGACACTACTGAAGGAGGAGGTAGGTGGAGGAGGGACACTACTGAAGGAGGAGGTAGGTGGAGGAGGGACACTACTGAAGGAGGAGGTAGGTGGAGGAGGGACACTACTGAAGGAGGGACACTACTGCAGAAGGGAGAATGAATAAATCACCCACTATGAAAACTACAAACTCATGAAGCTCTTACCTGAAGGTGGGTAGCCCGTAGGAGAGAGAGACAATGGCTGTAGCAGGGAGGACGTGTCTTTACTACCGGTGGTGGTAAGGTCCCGTCAGCGGTGTAGGATAAAGGCCAGTTATCCTCTTGCGTGGCTCAGTAACCCCAGGCCCTGCCACACACTACACCCGTACCTTCTTCCTCTTCCTTTCCCTCCTCCTCTTCCTCTTCTCCCCATCTCTCCTACGTTATTATCTGAAATTATTTATTAGTGTTTTACTTAAGAAATACTTATTAATGTTTAATCTACTCAATAGGGAAAAAATATCTTGGCCAACGTAATTTTAGAGGAAAACTTGTCAACAGAATATGGCGGCAAGATGTTTTGTTTTTGGAGATAGTTTTCCGGCTGTGTGGTGATAAATAAATAGATAAATAATAATAATAATAATAATGATAATAATAATAATAATAATAATAATAATAAATTACACATTATGTCTACGAGGAATTCCCGACTCTAATAATGCTGAACATTGGACAACAAAATCACTACAGTATATGCATTAAGGTTGCTGTAAGAACGCCGCATACACCATCAGATTCAATAGGATTTATTTTCCTTTACGATCTCTTGTGTTACGAAAACGGCAATTCACCCCCAAAGGTTAACAAGATGAAAAACTCGGGATAATTATCATTGCATTCCCAGATAATTTATGTTGCAAGTTGTAGGTGAAAAAAAATTAAGAGTAGATTAATGCATGAGTGGGTAAGAGAGAGAGAGTTTGTGCAAGAGAGAAGAAAAAAAAATATTGGTTTGTTTTAGAAGAGGTGAAATGACTAGCAACAGATTATAAGATACGATATATGGATGCAAGCTTAAGAAAACTAAAATACAAATAGAAAAAAATTAGATATAAAACAGTAAACAAAAGTAAAACCGTAAATATATTACATAAAACAATAATAGTAACAATAATAACTGGGACAACCTTCATTAATCAATAGAGCAATAGGGGGGAATTTTTGAGTGACAAGCAGGGAAGAGGAGGAGGAGGAGGAGGTCAGGTACGGAGAAAGTAGGAGGAGTAAGAGGAAGAGGCGAAGGAGGAGGAAGAGGGGGAGGAAGAAGAAGAGTAGGAGGAGGAGGAGGAGGAGGTCAGGTACGGAGAAAGTAGGAGAAGGAGTAAGAGGAAGAGGCGAAGGAGGAGGAAGGGGGGAGGAAGAAGAAGAGTGAGGAGGAGGAGGCCGCAAAAACGACAGTGGTGGTTCATCACGCACTGTCAGGGTCTTCAATACCACAAAGTCAGTTTTATTGCCGACGACTCGATGCTAAACACAGCCTGCAGTACTGGCGGTGTCATAACTCCCTCCCCTTCCTTCCTCTCTCCTCCTTTTTCTCCCCTCCCTCCATCCCTCCATCCATGCTGTGTTATGGTGCATCTCTTGCGACAATATGAGAGAGAGAGAGAGAGAGAGAGAGAGAGATCTATTCTTAGCAACATATTGATTTAAAGAAAAAGTAAAGAAACAATTAACTCTTTTTCACAACATAATTTACAAAGGACACGAAACTAATTTTCTTGACCACACTTACACTCGTTGTGGGTGTGTGTGTGTGTGTGTGTGTGTGTGTGTGTGTGTGTGTTGCGACAGTGGCTGCAGGATTCATTAGGGTTCGTTTTTAACTACTAATCGCCATGGAAAAAAAAATATTCTGTTGTAATATATTTAAAAAGCTTTGGGCATTATTACTGGTTGAACAATGACGAGACGATCCGTAGAGTGCATTAGATTACTCGTATTTTTTTATGTATTCGTTTGTTTATGAACGTTCTTCGTTTGTTTATGAACGTTCTTCGTCGTTTATGAACGTTCTTCGTCGTTTATGAACGTTCCATGAGTCTGTTTATGAACGTTCTTCGTCTGTTTATGAACGTTCTTCGTCGTTTATGAACGTTCTTCGTCGTTTATGAACGTTCTTCGTCTGTTTATGAACGTTCATCGTCTGTTTATGAACGTTCTTCGTCTGTTATGAACGTTCTTCGTCTGTTTATGAACGTTCTTCGTCTGTTTATGAACGTTCTGCGTCTGTTTATGAACGTTCTGCGTCTGTTTATGAACGTTCTTCGTCTGTTTATGAACGTTCTTCGTCTGTTTATGAACGTTCTTCGTCTGTTTATAGACGTTCTGCGTCTGTTTATGAACGTTCTGCTCTGCGAACGTTCTTGTCTGTTTATGAACGTTCTGCGTCTGTTTATGAACGTTCATCGTCTGTTTATGAACGTTATATATACCGAACGACTTTGACTTATTCCCCAGGAGAAAGAAGGAACAGCTGCCGAGCCTTATGATCTGGACACGTCAAGAGACCACGTTTGGTGACGACTGACCCAGTATGTGTGTGTGGTGATGCTACCACACCCACCATCTGTATGTGGCCTGTAACTCACCTGTGGCTGTACCTGAGAGAGAAAGAGAGAGTAACCTTAGCATCGACTCAACACTCTACATTATCTGTGGTTAATAACTTTAACCCAAAATAAATAGAAACTAAATTACCTGTTAAGTGGCACCAATTAGCATACAGGTGACCATTAGCATAACACAGACGATCTAGTTCAACCGAGCATCCTCAACCTAGACACAAGGGGGTAGGGAGACACACCTACCCCTTTAAACCAACAGGGGGGGTTGGGGGAGGGAGACCACCTACCCCCTTTAAACACAACACAGGGGGTTGGGGGGGAGGGAAATACCCCACCCCAAACACAACACAGGGGGTTGGGGGAGAGCCACCCCCTTTAAACACAACACAGGGGTTGGGAGGGGAAGACAAACCTACCCCTTTAAACACAACACAGGGGGGATGGGGGAGGGGAGACACACACCTACCTTCGCCCATAACCTCCTGCAACCTGTACTCGCCTCTATGCTACACTGTAATTAAGGTCATTATTGGGCTAAAATCGAGAGTTGTTTGCCTTGTGTGGGTTGATGAGGTCGCTGTGGTTGACGTGGGAGGTGGGGAGATGGGGTGGTTGTGGGAGATGGAGTGGTTGTGGGGGGTAATGGGGGAAATAATGGTAGGAATGGGGTCTAGTGAGTGGTAAAAGGGAGTAATGGAGGCCCTGTTCTTGTGCAACCTCCTCCCCCCTCTGTCGGGTGCAGTGTTGCCAGCCATTATTCTCGCTGTGGTGTTCCTGAGGGCCGCGCTCTGCTCCCCACGGTGTTTACAAATTGCTCAACTCTGTCGTAGTTTGTTTTCTGTACTACTACTACTACTACTACTACTGCTATTAATTTCATTGCCACCACTATTACTGCTTCTACTTCCATTCTAACAACAATTACTACTTTTGCTACTACCACTACGCATATTGATAATTCCATTCCTATTACTACTACTACTACTACTACTACTACCGTCTTCACCCACCCTTCAAAATAGTGTTTCTCTCCGGGGACCTCAACTTTTAATCCACTCGTCCATCCTCGTTTCCACCTCCCCCTTATATAGGATTCAGGATTTATTGAAGTTGCTGAGGATTTGTCCAGCGAAGGAGTGTTCATGGATGATACCAGAGAGTAAATACTGTTTATAATGATAATAATAATAAATA